TTACTATTTTGTAGTCCGCACTTTCATCAACTCTGTATTGACGTGAACTGCTGGCACCTTATGCTCGTAATGGCATCTTCAGCTCGGTAAATGTTGGACTTTTGTTAGTTCCTAAAAGCCGTCTACATTTAGGAGCGGGCAAGGACCTTCGGATGCCATGTTCCCAGCCTCTGTAACTTTATTCCAAGTCACATCAAGAGTAATAAAATTTTAAAATCAAATGTAAACACTCATTTGATTCATTTAGCCTATTTTTGAGCTGAAATTCAATGAGATGTTCCTTTTCAGGAGTTATATGTCCTGTATTCTGAAGCGCCCTACGATGCTGTACGTGCATATCGCTTTATCAAAGCAAATGTAGTTGTATTTATCTTTCGGACTTGTTGAAAGTAACACCACACTTTTCTTTTTTCCTGACGCGGGATCCTTTCCCTTGCCCTCCCTGTTTTGAAGAAAGGACGATGATCGGAATATTGATTCATACTGGCGGAATCCGATGAGCTGTAAAGCTCTTTTCACAGATTTCCAGTTTACAGATCATCAACGGTCGCCCCACGTCAAAGTTTACATTCAACATTTCATGGAAATAAAATGTATTTCCTTCAAGATGAACTGTAAACATTGTCAAAGTCAGGGCGTGTCGACTCAAGCGAGAGTTGGTGTAGCACTCATTTCCTTTTGCAGCACCTGAGCCAGTGTTTGAATTCCACATTCCCATGGCCGGGGTCAGTACAGTATTGGTTTATACCATTGTAACAGAGGGAGCACCTTGCTGAGAATGATAGCAAACCCCCATCCAAAGGTGAAACCTGAACGTCACCAAATTAACAGAGTACTAAACAGGTGGGAGTAGTATCATTTATTTTTTCACAAGACACTACTGAATTTTGAATGTCTCCTATACCAATCGCATTTACAGTGACCTCTGCTGCTGTAACTTCTAATGCGAAACTAATTCTTTCCAGAACTAGCTTAACTCTTATCTCAGAGAAATCGGACTTATACGCACCGAACTAGATCAGTTAGACAAGACACTCTACAAATCACACTTATCATTGGCTGCAACAATGTCCACATCGGATTGGGAACATGTAGACAATATGACTGCCTCTTCAGCTGCCACTGTGTCGACCAAATGTAAGGACAACCTGATTTCCAAATTTAACCTCCTCTCCAACAAGACCGGACCCACACACCAAAAAGCTAGACGTTAACAAAGTCGTAATTAATCGCAGTAACAGTTCTATTTCCGATGGTCTGAAATCCGTTTTAGCTAAAGGGCTAAACTTTGCAGTCACACCTAAACACATACCAGTTAATTATATCATTGCCCAAGTAAACGTGGCTCTCAAGGGCCTGGGTCACATCGCTGTATACGTAGCAAGATCTGAAATCGCTGCAACCCTCAAAAACGCTAAGATGCCAGCTGCAACCTCAGCAAAGATGAGCGTTTTGAATTATATGAATTAAAAAAGAGGCATGACATTGTCATCCTCTCAGCCGACAAGGGCAATGCCACTGTCATGGATAAAATAGAATATAACAAAATTCAAGAATTACTCAACGATGGTAGCAATACAAAAATAAAAAAGATCCCACCAACAGCCTCATCATACAAACCAACAAAATCATATCTGATTCAACCGCATTAATTGATCAAACCAAACAGTTCTCGTTGAATCCTTCTGCTGCCAGGCCACCAAGATTATACGGCTTACCAAAAATACAAAGTAGATACACCCCTTCGTACCATCGTCTCTACTATCAACTCCCCCACCTACAAACTGGCTCGTTTTCTGTCTGAAATCCTGCGGCCTTTCACTGGAAAAACCAAGTCTGCGGTACAAAATTCTACTCACCTGGTATCGACAGTCAAGGATATTTTCCTGTCCCCAGACGACCTGCTTGTCAGTTTTGATATAGTTTCTTTATTCACCAAAGTTCCTGTACCTGACACCATCGCAATCATTGAAGACTTGGTTCATCAAGGACTAAACACTGAGGTACCCCCTGGTGAGACACTGCTTAACCAATACATACTTAAATTTTGATTTACAATACATACTTCACTTGAAATGGAACTTTCTATAAACAAACTGAGGGCACCCCAATGGGCTCCCCTCTATCTCCAGTTGTAGCCAACATTTTCATGGAGAAATTTGAGACTGACGCCATGCAGACTGCCACTCTGCACCCAACCTTACGGAATAGGTACGTGGATGACACTTTTGTCATCTGGCCACATGGCCGGCCTGCCCTAGACCAATTCTTCGACCACATCAATTCCATACACCCAGCCATCAGATTTACCATGGAAGTCGAAAAAGATGGCAAGCTACCTTTTTTGATGTCCTAATGAAAAAGAGACCTGATGGTTCAATGAGCCACTCTGTCTACAGGAAAGCTACCCATACGGATGCTTACCTGAAACCGGATTCCCACCACCATCCATCCCAGAAGAATTCCCTCGTCAAGACTCTGCACCATAGAGCCCAATGCATATCCGACCAGGAACACATAGCCAGTGAACTCAAGCACGTACACCAAGCTCTTAAGGCTAATGGTTACTCCGACTACACAATCCGCAGAGCTATCACTCCATCCATGAAGAAGGACCCTCTTGAGGAGCCTTTCAAAACCATCACTTTACCCTACATTGCGGGGATCACAAAAAGATCTACAAAATCTCGAATAAACACAAGATCCAGGTCCGATTCAACACATTACATAAAATCCGTGATCTGGTTCCGTCTGTAAATATGTGATTCCGGACATACAGTACCCTGGCGTCTACAAACTAAGTTGCCTCTGTGGTAGTAGTTACATTGGAGAAACCAAACGACATGTCTTGGACCGCATTCGTGAACACAAAGCAGACCTAAACCACGGTAGGGCCAACACCTCGGTCATGGAAGATCACTGTTATAATTCAGTAGGCTCACATGAGATTGACTTCTCCAAGACAGAGGTTATTTGCAAGCCATCTGGCTACCATGAGAGATTCGTTAATGAGGCTATCCACATATACAAACACAGAGACAATTTCAACCGAGAAAATGGATTCTGGATTAGCAATCATTGGAAGGATTTGATAAACCATTTCGGGTCTTAATTGATTTTTCACGCTTACGGTGGCTTTCAGACCGCATCCATTATTTTCGTCTCCCCCCTCCTCTTTTCCGAACATCTGAATAACTGCCAAATCGCTCTCCGTGGAGCTAACGTTAAAAAAACGCCACTTTTTTCTAAATTTTCTTGCTGTGGTTTTCACACCTGATGATGATTGCTTGTGTTGCAGTCGAAACGTCGTGAGAATTTGTATTGTTTTATATTTTTATTATGTTATTGTTTCTCTTCTACATGACTTTACCGAAAGAACAAAGAATGTCTCCTATACTGTTATCCCTGCGACTCCAACTTGTGTCGTATCATACCTGTCAACCCCTTATCAGTGCCTACCTTATTACGGACTAATTCAGACCTTATTGGTCACCCCCTTGCCCTTATACATCTCAACGTTCATCCTACAAAGTCCCATCATAAGGGAGAAACACAGACACAAAATTTTGCCCGTATTGAAACGGCTGTAACGCCGTATGGACCTGAAAACTCAATTTCCCTGTACAAAAATACGGGTACACCATATGGGTTGACACGGTGTGTATTATATTCATCGGTATCAGCAGCATGTAATGATATAGCCACTGCTGAATATATGTACATACATTAATCACGTTCATAATACAGGTTTTTTTTTTGGTTAGTTCGCGTACATATATAAATGTATCGGTTTTCCCTTTTTTTCTGGCAACAAAACAGGTGTTTAGATGTTAAAACACCAAACTGAAACCTTTTGCAAGGAATGTCTGCATTAAACACGGATACTTGTGGTGAAAATACAAACAAAAACCATACTCTGACAGTATGTGCATTGTCTTTGAAACTGATTGGTCCACACCAGTGACAGCTTTCTTTAGAGCCGAGTCTCAAGCAGTGTGAGGCCAGAGGACGCCAAAAGACAAACAGCACAAGGACAATGCCACTATCAGAGTAATGAGAGCTCGGGGTGAGCAGTTACATCATGGGACCCCCTTTGCCAGTACCAAAATATAAGAAGAGGTTTCCCCCCCCCCTGTTTTCTGGCAACAAAACAGCTGTGTTGAGATGTGTTAAAACACCAAACTGAAACCTTTTACAATTAATCATGTCTGCGTGAACCACAGTACTTGTGGTCAGAGCTTCTTTTTTGTTTGTATTTTCACCACAAGTATCTGTGGTTAATGCAGACATGATTCCTTGTAAAAGGTTTCAGTTTGGTATTTTAACATCTTAACACAGCTCTTTTGTTGCCAGAAAAAAAAGGGGAAAACCCCTATTCTCATATTTTGGTACCGGCAAAGAAGGTCCCATGATGTAAAAATGTATCGTTAAACATGCCAATTCGTTACTAGTACAGCACACAATTGTGTTGGAGAGCCAAGCCACAACATGTACTATCGTACTCTTTGGTTCTTTCGGTAAAGTCACCAAGTTAGGTATAAAATAAAAATCACGACGTTTCGATCGCAACACCAGCGGTCGTCCTCAGGCGGAAATATAATCAAGGAGTGGAAACTGCTGAACCCAATAAATCACGACTAAACTTCACGACTAAACGTCGTGATTTATTTTATTTTGCACCTACGTGAGTTTAGCGAAAGAATGTACAATCGTGCTAAATAATTTACCAAAGTTTGGTCAGCTCCACCAATATTGCATGGAAAAATTAAGTTCATACCAGAAGGGGAGTCGGGACAAGGAAATACTTTCGCCAAAGCACATGAAGCAATGTCATTTCTTTGTACAAATTTACGTTGCGAAGTTATCAAGATTTAATATTCAAGTTTCACACGTAGGGCTTCATATTTAACTTTGAGAGGTTTCAACTTGTGAAGAAAGAATTCGTGAACGGAAAATCGACCAACAGAATCGCCGAATCGATCGATTTACGAATCTTAACGCGGTAATCGATTAGATTCGCATTTTACAGTAATCGATAAACATCGAATCGATTCCCCGCCCCCGAAGTTTTTAAAGGGGCCTCGTCTCGCACCAACAGTTGCGCGTTCTCCGCAAACAGCGTAGTTCGTTTTTTTTGTCCGTGTACGCGACTTGACGCCCTTAGAAACCTATCCTTTCCGCATAATACCAAACATCCCCGCCTTCTCAAGACTCGGAGCGATGGCTTCGTAGCGAAGTCAACGAAAAAAAAAACGCCGGGACCGCGCGAGAGGTCGCCTCAGCCGGAGGCCTAACTCAGGCTTCCCGCGGGGTTTCCTAGGCGAGGCTGCCGTAGACATGACGACTCCGAGCACCGAGCGGCATTGGGTGTCGCGGCTGCTCGCCGCCGTGTTCTACGGCCTCTGCTCGTTCCTCATCGTCATCGTGAACAAGCAAGTGCTCACGAGCTACGGGTAAAACTCGCCACAAAACAAGCGCCCTCACCGCCCCAGCAGCCGCTGCAATGAATGGGGGTGGCGGCTGCTGCTCCCAAGCGTTGAAACGGCGGTGCGTTCCGTCGAGCTCTGATTGGCTGAGCGCGCGTGAAGCCACGATTGGCGCCAAATTCAAATTTAACATCGCAGCAGATGCGGCTGCTGATGCAGCAGATGCGGCTGCTGATGCAGCAGATGCGGCTGCTGATGCAGCAGATGCGGCTGCTGATGCAGCAGATGCGGCTGCTGCTTATGCAGCAGATGCGGCTGCTGCTTATGCAGCAGATGCGGCTGCTGCTTATGCAGCAGATGCGGCTGCTGCTTATGCAGCAGATGCGGCAGCAGATGCGGCTGCTGCTTATGCAGCAGATGCGGCTGCTGCTTATGCAGCAGATGCGGCTGCTGCTTATGCAGCAGATGCGGCTGCTGCTTATGCAGCAGATGCGGCTGCTGCTTATGCAGCAGATGCGGCTGCTGCTTATGCAGCAGATGCGGCTGCTGCTTATGCAGCAGATGCGGCTGCTGCTTATGCAGCAGATGCGGCTGCTGCTTATGCAGCAGATGCGGCTGCTGCTTATGCAGCAGATGCGGCTGCTGCTTATGCAGCAGATGCGGCTGCTGCTTATGCAGCAGATGCGGCTGCTGCTTATGCAGCAGATGCGGCTGCTGCTTATGCAGCAGATGCGGCTGCTGCTTATGCAGCAGATGCGGCTGCTGCTTATGCAGCAGATGCGGCTGCTGCTTATGCAGCAGATGCGGCTGCTGCTTATGCAGCAGATGCGGCTGCTGCTTATGCAGCAGATGCGGCTGCTGCTTATGCAGCAGATGCGGCTGCTGCTTATGCAGCAGATGCGGCTGCTGCTTATGCAGCAGATGCGGCTGCTGCTTATGCAGCAGATGCGGCTGCTGCTTATGCAGCTGCTGATGCGGCTGCTGCTTATGCAGCTGCTGATGCGGCTGCTGCTTATGCAGCAGATGCGGCTGCTGCTTATGCAGCTGCTGATGCGGCTGCTGATTATGCAGCTGCTGATTATGCAGCTGCTGATTATGCGGCTGCTGATTATGCAGCTGCTGATTATGCGGCTGCTGATTATGCGGCTGCTGATTATGCGGCTGCTGATGCAGCTGCTGATTATGCAGCTGCTAATGCTGCAGAAGCTGCTGCTACAGATGCTGCTGCTGATGCAGATGATGATGCAGATGCTGCAGATTCTGATGCAGATGTGCTGTTGCAGATGATGATGCTGCAACAAGCACACAGAGAACCCTTCCCCGTTTTGGAGAAGTCTGCAAGTCACAGGCGTGGGGTGCCCCCTGCACCGCTGGATCTCGGAACGCGCAATCAGCTCGGCGTTCATTTTTTTGGGGAGTCTTAAGCACTATTGTGTGGGGGGTTCCCATGGTGGCGGGCTGTCATCTACCTCGCCAGGTATACAGGAGATCGTGGGTTCCATCCGAAACTTGACGCCTGTATATTTGGAGTGTGCATGTCTCTCTCTCCCCGTGGTCACGTTTAGAGTATTTGGCTTCTATAAATTTCCGCATGATACACGACTTCGTTGAGCTATCGTTTGTGGCCAGGTCGCTTCTGAAAAAGAGCCACATAGCTCAGTGGGACTTACCTGGTAAAATAAAAATTGCTTAGTTTTTAAATACATTGTACTCATCGCAGAGAACTCTAGCGACACGACCACACTCTACGATAGCTGGCGCCAAACTGTGCCACACCCCTCCCAGCATAGTTTTGTGGGAGCCTTATTTTAGCTTTTAATCCCGATTATTAATCTCACGAGTCTGTGGGATGAATCAGAAGAAAAAACTGGGAAAGGGTGAACGTAAATCGCAACACGTTCGTCAGTAATCCAGTCCCCTTGAAAGGGATTTTTTTTTTAAGACGACGTTTCGGGCAGCATTTCTCTTTTATAGGTCAATAGGTTATGCTTACCTGAAATTGAGTGGGGTATGAGTAAAACATTTGATAAAAAATTTAGATTTAAAACTAATTTTTTTAAACTGCTTTTTGTGTCTAGTTTGGTCTTTGTCTCCCCACACCTCCGATGAGCACGGTTGGCTATGTACGGTGCAAAAGAAGTCCAACATACACGCAAAATTGCACATTGCGCCATGGGATTCGAACAGAATTATATTTCACAAATGTATCCCGATTAACTTTTTTTTTACTGAGGATTTCAACAGAAACCGTGATACAAGTGGGCAGAAGTTGGAGGGTGTTGGGAGTAGAGTAGGGTGATATTTTATTGTATTTAACGAGTGCTTTTACATGTTACTTTTACACAGAGCACCAGATACACCAGAGAAATAATGAAATTAATACATACGTATCTCAGTGTTATACGTGAGGTGGATGTCAGCCCACGTAGCCACAGAGCCATGTGGCAGCCTCCTCCTCCAACACGTGCAGGGTAACCGGTCGGCCCGGCACACCTTGATGGACTTCCCAGCCAGAGACGACGGTGCGCCATTGGCCTCCTGCTCCCTGCATATTCACACAGCGGGGCTGCCGCGCAATCGTACGATGCCCCATCCATGTTCGGGAGCGGCACACAACGCCATGCCCTGGTCACACCAGGAGCGGTTCAACTGAACCCCACTGGTTGCCTTGGGAGGTCGAAGGCAGTAGGGTGAGTGAGATGCGTGAGCATTACTGAGGCTGCCTGCTTGTACTGTCGTCGCTGTGTGATGTGGTACCAATACACTGAAGTCACTTTTCTTTTTGTTGTTGTTAGGTTTCCCTCTTCGCTGTTCCTGGGCGTCGGGCAGGTGATTTACGCTCACAAAAACATCCCAGAGACTCTTTGAGGTTCAGACATTCTGTTTTTATTTTCCCAGGTAAGGCCCACTGAGCTATATAGCTCTTTTTCAGAAGCAACTTGGCCACAAATGATCGCTCTGCAAAGTGGCTTATCACATGGGAATGTATAGCAGCCATATACTCGAAACGCATGTTTCTAAATGTGGAGGAAAAAACGGGAGGACCCGGATAAAAATCCACACAACCACAGGGAAAGACGTGCAAACCGCAAATATACAGCAGCAGCAGCAGGCGTCAGGCTCGGGGTCAAACCCACGACCTCCTGTGTACCACGCGAGATCGTTAATATCTCACATCTCTTTTGAAAAATTTCACTTCTCAACCAAGCCGTGCTGGAGCATGCCGAGCCGACCCAGCGTGACTTGGGAAGCGCCGGCTTCTTTTCCCACCGCAGAACCGGAGCCGCACAGCTGATGCCACGCGTTTAACGTGTTTAGCACTGGTTGCCAGGTTCCGGCTCCGGTGCCGAATGCGGTTTGCCTAAGGGCTGCTTTGTGACAGTTATTTACTGAGGACTGCCGTCTCGTATATTCATGTACGTTGCAGCTCGTCAAATGTGGATGATTTGTTTTTTTCTCGAGTTTGAACAAAAACGGCTCATTGTTATTTTGGTTGCCGAACCCTGATTTAGCGTGATGCTTAACGCGTGGTGCCGGTGAGATGACCTTCCAATTTCTCCTATGACATAGTTGGGTTTTTTTTGCTCTAATTTTTATTTTGCTTCATTTCTATAACTTTTATTCAATGCTTTTTCCTTTTTGGTTAACCCGGATCACTCGTGCGAGTGAGACTTCTACCCCGGTCCCTTGAGATCTCGCTTTGGTTGAAATAAACTTGACACTTCACCTCCGTTGTGCAGATGTTGGTGACGCTGGTGCTGCTGCATGTTGGACGGGTGTGTGGTCTCGTGTCCTTCCCATACTTCGACAGAAACCTCCCCAAGAAGGTGCCTCTCTTATTTTCCTCGTCACACATCTGCCTTTTCTTAAACTAAACTAAATTATGCATTGCAATTCCAGTTGGTCAGTTTTATTTTTCGGGTAAGGCACATTGAGCCAAGAAGCTCTTTGAAAGGCAGCCTGGCCACAGCGGCAAGCGACGTCAGATGGGAAGGGAGAGTTTGCAGGGGCTGCTTGGAACAGCTGATACAACAGTAGCCAGCACGTTCCATGGGAGGTTGAGCTAGTCAGAATCAATCAGAATTGTTAGTTATACTGGAGGAATCCGGTGAGCTATAAATATCTTTTTCACAGATGGCCAGAAAATTACAACAACAAACAATACAAAAACACGATATTCTTGCAAAGTATAGGAATGGTACACAAATCAAATTTTTTTAACGTAAAAGTTAACTATTTTTTATTTAACCAGGTAAGGCCTACTGAACTATAAGCTGCTTTTTCAGAAGCGACCTAGCCACAAATTATTGCTCAACAAAGTGGCTTATCACATGGAAATTTATCCCAGCCAAATCATCTAAATAGTCTGTGAATGTGACACCGAAGCGAGTTTGTGCTATGCTGTGCGAGTCTGTGAATGTTTTATTGACCGAGCGTGTGGTTGTTACATGGAGGGTCATGGTGTCGAGATGTTAGCGACCTCGCCTGGTATAGAGGAGGTCGTGGGTTCGATCCCAACCCTGACACCTATATATTTTGAGTTTGCATGTTCTCCCTGTGGTGGTCCACGTGATTATAAGCCACTTCGTTGAGATATCATTTGTGGCCAGGTGGCTTATGAAAAAGAGCTATATAGCTCGATGGGCCTTACCTAGTAAATACAAAATAAAGATAGAATAAATAGGGTCGAGTCAGACTGTTTTTTTTAAACGAGCGTGCGGTTGTTACATGGAGAGTCGAGTCAGACTGCATGTGGTTTTTTCCACGATTGCTCACCGAGCCGCGACCCCCACTCCTGCGTTCCAGATCTTCCCTTTACCGCTCATCTATCTGGGGAACCATATCACCGGCCTCATCAGCACCAAGAGACTCAGGTGCGTCACGTCACACTCCACCCACACACTGACCGACGCGATCCTCGCTCGGGCTGGCTAGCCGGCACGGACCAAACATGGGGCTGGCTAGCCGGCACGGGCCAAACGCGGTGCTGGCTACCCGGCACTGTCCAAACACGGAGCTGGCTAGCCGGCATGGGCCTAAAACGGGGCTGGCTAGCCGGCACAGGCCAAACGCGCAGGGCTGGCTAGCCGGCACGGGCCAAACACGGAGCTGGCTAGCCGGCACGGTTCAAACAACGGGCCGGCACGGTGGACGTGACACGTGTTGTATGTATGTATGTACGTTGTGTGTATGTATGTTGAACTTCTTTCGCACCGTACGTAGCCAACCGTGCTTATCGGAGGTTCGGGGCAAGGACGACAAACTAAACCGCAAAAAGCAGTTCAATCTAGGGAGGTTGAGAGTGGGGGAGGGCAGGGTTTCACTGCTGGAGTGGCAAGTGTGCACCCGTAGTGCAATCCAGATCTCCTGTGTTCGATTCCCAGCTTTAGCGAACATCAGTTTGAATCGGCCTTTAAATTAGTATTGGCTGCGGTGTGTCAACATCAGCACTGCGGATACAAAGGTGGATCAGAATCTTTATTTAGAATGCAAGAGAAATCCCGATGAGCTATGAAGCATCTTTTTCACAGATGTCCATAATGAGCAGGTCAGCAAGTTACAACTACAAACAATACAAACGAGAACAACAAGAATACAGTCCCAGACCACACCAAGATAACACCACACAGCAGTCCCTCAATAAAATTATACATTAACATTAAACTATCGATCAAAGTTACAAAGCACATTTGCAAATGTGACTGCTGTATCCAGCACTAATCTTCTTCAGGATATTTTTTTGAAGGAAGATTTACGATGTTAAGGGGGGCAACAGGTGTCGTCCTGGCCACACTAGGTTTGGTGGATGAGGTAAAGTATGAGTATTTTGCCACCTTTCGTAAGACGTCTGACCGACATCGAAAAGTATGCGAAATGCCCTCTATAGCCTGAGCTGTCTAGAACTCCCTCGAGTTGAGGTCATTCAGCCAGCAGTGCTGTGAGCAAGTAGTGGTTAGCACAGTAGGAAGTGGTAGTGCAGCATTTAGTACGCTGCGCTATGAACCCGGCGACCCGAGTTTGATTCCCGCTCAAGGTCAACACCAATGACGTTTATCTGAACCGATCCTGGGCCTCGCCTAGGTCGACTCAGGCTCAAATGAGTACCGGGTGCGGTGTGTAAGCGTCGCCACTCGGGAGACAAAGGCATGGTACTGGCCACCCTGCCCCCCTCCTTGTGTGTCATGCCGGCCTTCTTCATAGGTGCAGCTTGCTAACACGGGGGATATTTGTCGTGTGTGCCTGCACAGCCTCCCAATGTTCACGGTGCTGCGGAAATTCTCCATCCTCTTCACCATGGTGGGCGAGATGTTCATCCTCGGGTGAGCGTTTGTCGCACGTGAATCAAATTTGAAGTTTGTAATTCTCAGGGCTGCGTCGTGAATGTACCACTTGGGGCACCGTGGTGGCGAGATGTAAACTACCTCGCTTGGTATGGAGGAGGTTGTGGGTTTGATCCCAACCCTGATGCTTGTATATTCGGAGTTTGCATGTCTTTCTCTCCCCATGGTCGCGTGGATTTTTCTCCACTTCCTCCAGTTTTTCCCTCCACATTTAGAAACATGCGTTTTAGAGTATATGGCTGCTTTGAATTTCCACGTAATAAGCCACTTCGTTGAGCTGTCGTTTGTGGCCAGGTCGCTTCTGTAAAAGAGATATATAGCTCAGTGGGCCTTACCTGGTAAAACATTTTAAAATAAATAGAAAAAAATCGGACCGAACGAGTCTGTAACGGGCTCGCGCTTTAATCAATAACAAATAGGGGGACAGCTTTTTCACATGTGACGTCATCGCATTTTGTTAAATCGCAAGGTAACGTTATCGCTAATTAAGTAACCTCCTGTGAAGAACACACGCTGGGAAAATGAAACAGAATCTGTGTGTGCAAATTTTTTTATTACTGTTAACCCTTTCCTGTTCCGAGACATCTGCAACTTGCAGGGTGGGTGTCCCGTGCATCGCTGGATCTCGGAACGTGCAAGTGGTTGGGCGTTAATTTTATTCAGAGAAGGGTAGTGCCGCTGTTTTTAAAAACATTGTACCCACCGCAGAGAGCTGTAGCGACACGACCGCACTCTATGACAACTGGCACCAAACCGTGCCACACGCCCTCCCGCCTTGTGGTGAGCCTCCGGTTTGTTGACGTACATGTACGTGTGCGTCAACAAACCAAAACCGTACATGTGTACGTCATCTGAACAGTATCGGAAGAAAATCTGATGGCGTACACGTGCGCTATCGGAACGGGAAAGGGTTTCATATACAGTAAAACCTTGGATTGCGAGTAACTTGGTCTGCGTGTGTTTTGCAAGACGAGCAAAAATTTTAAATAAATATTAATTTGATAAACGAGCGAGGTCTTGCAATACGAGTAGTACGTATACGCTTTGTCTGCCGAGCATCACGTGATCACAACTGATATACGAGTGCTTTGATATACGAGTGCTTTGGATTACAAACACGTTTCAGGAACGAATCATGCTCGCAATCCAAGGTTTTACTGTATTATCTTGTGGGCCCCTCCAGAGTTCTGGGCCCTGTGCGAATATCCATTTTTGATCCCTTCCCCCCCCCACCCTTACTCCAACGCTGTGTGCGGGAGGACTGGACTCGTGACTCGTGCGCCCCTGCCCTCTCAATGGTCGCGCCTCTTTCCCTCTTGTTTGATTTCGCAGAAAAACAACGTCACTCCCTATCCAGTTGACTGTGGCCATGATGATGGGCGGGGCCATCTTCGCCGCCAGGTGGGGATCAACTCTTCACCCCACAAACGATGTGTGCCAGCTGTGATGGGAACAAAGACTACAGTGTTTTTTTTATTCATGGCCTGCGGGCAAGCAGGGGTGTGCAGTGCCAATATATGTGCCTCACATTAAGAACGGGCTGGGTTCGATTCCCGATTCGGACGCCTTTCTGCACGCTATTTGTATGTGTTCTCCCCCTGTTGTCCATGAGTTTGCTCCAGGCTCCCCGGTTTCCTCTCATAGTTAAATAAATTGCTGGCAAAAACATCCCATTGCTGGAAAATTACCTGAAAATTACTTGATTTAGGATTTCACGCACAAGCAACATTTCCCCCGACTGAAAAGTTGGCATGACCGTCCTAAAAAAGCCTAGCCTAGTCTTGAGACTCGGCGAGGCTTTCCTGTGTAATCAAGCGTAACAATAAATTTGATAATAGCTCAGCCCATCCTAATGGACGGGGTGACATGACACTCGCATAACAATAATAATCCCTCTTTGACACATGATCCTCATCGGACGCTGCCCACCTAACCCTCACGACTCACCAGTTGTTACGCCTGTGGAGAGGCTCGTGAAGGATGCTACCGGGCAGTTGGAGGCAGTTGCCTTCAAACAACATCGGGAGGGAGGAGGAACGACGCTCGTCGCAACAACGAGCGGAGCACCGAGCGGCTAAAAACGCAGCGAGGTGGCACAGGGAGGAGCACAGGTGGCGCATCTGCCAGTGATCTCCAGCCATTCGACCCACGTCACCACCTGGGTCTGTCCCGTGACCTTCTTCCAGCGAGCCTTCCGCACTCCGCGTGACCTCAATGTGCACCAAGGCTGGCACAAGCGCCGTGGTGACGTCACCACAGCTTAGTGTCGAATGGCGGCTGTTTTCTTTGTGTGTGTGTGTGTGTGTCGGTCCTCTGAAGCTCTGACCTGGCGTTTGACCCCGTGGGCTACACCTTCATCCTGGCCAACGACCTTTTCACCGCCGCAAACGGCGTCTACACCAAACAGAAACTCGACTCCCAGGTCCCGGACACGGAACGCTCGCCTTCTTTTCGCCGTCTCTCACCGCTCTCGCACCACCTCTCACGTCTTCTCACCCATTCTCACCTCTCGCTCACCGCCCCTCTCACTGCCCGTCGTGTTTCTGACTTCCCGTCACCTTCCCACACCCCCTCGTACCCACCTATCACAGTGTTCTTCACTAATTGTCAGAGGGGAGTGGGGGGGGGGGCGGCACACTTTCACCGATAAGACACCATCAGTGTGAGGGCCGCCACACGTTTGAAACCATTGGGGTTTGACAGCAGCACGATGACCATGGGGGATGTTTTCACATTTGTGTATTGTCGGGGGCCGTACTAAAGGCCACCAGGGGCCCTACTAAAGGCTACCAGCAACCACAGTGGCCCGCGGGCCTTGCAATGAAGAACACTGCGTGATCACATCACCTCCCTTTCTCTCACCTCTCATCCTCTCGCTACCCCACACCACCGTGTACCGCCTGTCACCTCGCCTCCCATCAAACACCCCCCACCCCCTCCTCTCATGGCTCAATCCCAGCTCTACTCCCACCCAACCCGACTGGCGAGTCGAGCGGTCTGGCATGGCGCCACCAAGCCACAAGTGATTATATTTCCTCCACGGTGGCGAGATGTTAACCACCTCGTCTCATATACAGGAGGTCATGGGTTCGATCCCGACCCTGACGCCTGCATATTTGGAGTTTGCATGTGCTCCCTGTGGTTGCGTGGATTTTCTCCGGGTCCTCTGGCTTTTCCCTCCACATTTAGAAAAATAAGTTTAGAGTATTTGGCTGCGATGTATGTCCACGTGATAAGCCACTTAATTGGGCTCTCAATTTGTGGCCAGGTCGCTTCTGAAAAAGAGCTATATAGCTCAGTGGGCCTTACCTGGTAAAATGAAAAATAGTTTATTAGTTTAGTTTACTTCTCTGTGCTATGTTTAGACAAAGGTAAAGATGCAGCTCGGCGATTGCCTGCTCATGCCGACACCACCACTGTTGGCATTTTTGGCCGAGTCTTCCGTATGTATGTATGTTGAAGTTATTTCACACCGTACGTAGCCAACCATACTCTCTTTCTGTTGAACTTCTTTTACACCGTACGTAGCCAATCGTGCGAATTGGAGGTGTAGGGGAAGGACAACAAACTAAACACAAAAAGTCGTTCTCAAGAAATATGTTTTCAAGCTATATTTCAAACTACATAGCTCCCAGTAGCTTTCTAATATTGGAAGGAAGAGCGTTGCAGACGGCCGCAGAAGCGCTTCTGAAAGTGTGCGATGTGGTGGCCGTCTTTGTTCGGTGGCCAGCCAAAAGCCGCTGCTACTGCTGTGAGGGACGACCACTGGAGTTCGCGTGACGATGGTTTACGCCGACCAGACTTTGCCCCCTACCACGTGCGACATGCCGATCGACTTTCCTCGTCGTTGTGTGTTTAGGAGCTGGGGAAATACGGCCTACTCTACTACAACGCCGTGTTCATGATCGTGCCCGCCGCTCTGGCGTGCGCGTACACAGGCGATCTGCAACTGGTGAGGCACCTTCATTATTTTTTATATCTTTACCTAAGTTTCTCCCGGTTTTGGTCTCTGCACCCTTCGTGTTACGGTAACGGGGCCTGCAGAAGCAGATGTCACAGAACTACCTCTTGAGATCCCTTAAAATTAACTCTGTCCCACACATTAGAGGGCAGCATTTTCCTACATCCCCTCCCACAGAGTATTGTTTATTGCGTGGCAGTCAAACAAATATGTCGGCAGTCCCCCCCGGGTTACGGAAGACACAAATTACAGAAAGCCGACTTTGCGGAAATGCTCCCATAAATCATGTTAAAAAAATGAAATACTGTAAGCGAAAATAGTGCAGCGCGGTGAGGTTGCGAATGAATACAGCGGAGCGAGGCGTAAGGCGGGGGCACACATTCCCCGAGGCAGTGGTGTACTGTATGGCACTCACGCCGTTACATTGTTACCATGAGTATACTGTACCCGGCCACATAGTGTCGTAACTTTCAGTGTAACATTACCCATAATCGAATTGCAATAATGACTGGAAAGCAACCAGGCGCTTGCAAGAGTGCAGGGCCATGCTCGCAAGCGTAAAGCGATAGCTTTAGAGCATAGACGCCACCTTCACCACAAAAACTCCCCCTTCCTGAGCTTCACGAGGATTAAGGTCAATGTTTTTTTTGTAGCGTTATGTAATTGTTCTATGTGCTTCGTGGTATTCATAAACAATTGGACACAGTGCAGTAAATGTTCCATTCGTTGAATTGTGGGTAGCGATAGAAAGCGGACGACAGTGCGATACGGTACTGAGAGAAAACGGTAGGGGAGGCTACATGTATTTCCGGATATAGGATTTTATCTTGATGTTGGGGGAAAACTTGTTCGACATACGGAAAATTGTGGCTATGGATATTTCTCGAGAACCTCCTAACCCTTCCGTAACCCGGGAGACTGCCTGTACTTAAATTTCAAGACTGGAACTATTAGTTTCATTTGTTATAATCAAGTGATGTAATAATTTCAGCACCATGGACTTAACCCTGCCTACATCTTCCCATAGATCATTGATTATATCCGGCACAGCTTCAAGGGGGAAGGCGGTGCCGTATTTCCAAAAACCCCAGATAATCACATAATTATTAAAACTAGCTTATTTTTACACATTCTCGGATCACATGTATATGTTTTGTGTATTATAAATATCCTAAAGTGAAAAGTTACCGTGCAGTATTTACTGTCCCGTACTTACCAATTCCAATCTCGAAGACTCTTCGTGGGGGTGGTTTTCGTGGTACTACTCCGCTCTTGTTTCAACAACTTACGTCCGGACGATTGCCGGACTGATGCGAACGCCGAATTGCACAACGCAAATTTTCTCCGGATCGCCGCGCCTTGTATATTTTCTGTTTTTATTACCGTAGTTATTAGTCGTAAAAAAAATCTATATGCGTGCAGTATTTTCATTGTTTAAGTTGTATTTACTCTATAACGTACTGCGTATAAAAATTGACACGCCGGACTGGTTACAGCCTTTGGAGCGGTTTTGCCCGATCAGCCTTGGACTGCCTAATACTGTTGGAAGCCGGATAATCGCGCAGTGCCGGATAATAGATAATCAACTGTATTTGGTATTCTATAAAACGGCATTGTATTTGTATTGTACCTCTCCCCCGTGTTTCCCCCCCCCCCCCACACCATCTCCCTGCCGCCCCCCTCTCTCCGAAGGCGCTGGACTTTGAGGGCTGGAGCAACCCCTGGTTCGTCGTACACTTCACCTTCGCCTGCTTCATGGGGTGAGTCGGGACGATGCCACGCTGGGTCCCTGCCGCATAAACGGAGAGTAATAATCGTTCAGTCTCGCACGTTATGTTAACACGTTATATTTTCAGGGGCCCAAATAGGGGGGGGGGGGACCAAAAATAATAAATTGGAGTTAATTTTTATTCATTGTTATAGTTATAGGCATTATTTTTCTACAATATAAGCTGTGTTTACTCCAAATATCAGCTTGCTAGCTCTTCTAGTCGTGCACGTTGATCAGTTAACAATCACGGTAAGCACACTGTGCTACGAGACCTGGCGACCTGGGTTTGCCTGCCAGCCGTGCCCAAAATCAGTGGGGAATGCCTCGACTAGTCCTGGGCTTCCCTTACGTCGATTCACCATCAAATGTTGTGGTGTATCAACATCAACACCTCAGATTCCCTTCGATTAGCACGGTTGGCTACGTGCGGTGCGAGAGAAGTTCAACAAACATACACATCAAAACTGGGGAGGCAAAGGTGGCGGAGCGCTGTATTTGGCGACAACCCCTACCTCTTGTGCGCCATGGCCATCTTCAAAGGTGCCACTCGCTAACAGCACTTGCCCCAGCAGTCTGGTAAAGGCTACACGGGGGATCTTTGTCTTGTGTGTATGTGTGTGCATGAGAGCACCTATGGAGGCCGATACGGCGTACGAGAGGGTGGGTGGCCAGCACCACACCCGGCCACCTTTGCCTCCCTAGTGGCAGTGTTTACACAATCCACCAGGTACTCATTTGCGGCTGAGTCGACCTAGGGGAGGCCCAGGACCGGTTCAGATAATCGTCACTGGTGTTGGCCGTAAGCGGGAATCGAACTCGGGTCGCCGGGTTCGTAGCGCAGCGCGCTAACCGCTGCACTACGGCTCATAGGTGCTCGCTAACAGCACTTGCCCCAGCAGTCTGGTGAAGGCTACATGTGGGATCTTTGTCTTTTGTGTATGTGTGTGTATGAGCGCAGGTTCATCTTGCTCTTCTCCATCATCCTTTGCACACAGTACAATTCTGCCCTCACCACCACCATCGTCGGCTGCCTGAAGGTTTCTTGAATTTTAATCAATGCATTGATTAATATCTACTGTACCTACAACAGCCCGTCGTTAACAGGGGAATGGTCGGTAAGCGAACACATTGGGCTCTATGGAGCCCCATCATTAAGCGATTAGTCATTAACAGCAGTGACGTGCGGTGAGGTCAATGACTGGGGAGGCACTGGCTAGTGTCAGAGCCAGATTCACACACTGAAGGGAGCGTGGCCTCATTGAGGGGGGCGTGTCACTGAGGGGGGCGTGTTAGATACGTCCCCCTCAGTGAGGCAGATGTGATAGCTGCCTCCCCAGGTGCTTTTTTTATTGCAGTGTCATGACGAGACCAGCGAGCCTAAATATCTTCGTACACATACGTGAAATAAGTTACCTGGAGTATGGAAGGCGAGGACATGAAATGAAGGGGTCTACAAACATTACATTGGTGGCATACTGAGATAGTAACAGGCACGCGCTTATTTCCCGCGCTCCATCCAGTTACTGAGGGGTTGCGCAATCAGAGGGGAGGCTGAGCTCGTCGCCGCCTCACCTCTCGTCTCTTCCTGAATTTGCAGCAGAGCTCCGCAAATTTGGCGATTTTGACTATAAAAATTATGGGACTCGTACAGAAATGACATTTATAACACAGATCAGTGGGAAAATATTAATATTTATTTCATTTGATTTTATTTGATTATCTTTTTTTTACTTTTCGTAACAGCTATTTTCATTGGAGTATGACAGGTGAGGCTCTGCCTCCCCTGACCGCACTTCCCTGGTTAACAGGGGTGGTCGTTGAGAGGGGTTCTACTCTACACTACTATACACTACACTGCTATACACTACACTACTATACACTACACTATACACTACACAATACACTACACTATACACTACACTATACACTACACTATACACTACACTATGCACTACACATTGGGCTCTATGGAGGCCCGTTCGTAAGCGTTTAGTCGTTAACAGGGCTGGTCGTTAAGAGGGGTTCTGCTGTATTTTTGAGGGTTTTTTTTTATGACTCCCTACTGCGTGTGCCACTGCAGAACGTGTCGGTGGCCTATATCGGCATGCTGGTGGGAGGTGACTACATCTTCTCATGGCCCAACTTCGTGGGTCTAAACATTTGGTAGGTGTTTCTGACCGTGTCCGCGTCTGCGAGCACAAGGCAGATTTGAAATACGGCAGGATGAATTCTTCCGCCGTTGCTGATCATTGTTACAATGTTGTGGGCTCTCATGATATTATCTTTTCCGAGACCAAGGTGCTCTGCAAGCCGTCTGGATACCACCAAAGGTTTGTCCATGAGGCCATCCAGATATACAGACATAGACATAACTTCAACCGAGAAGGTGGATTCAAATTGAGCAATCATTGGAAATATGTCATTAACCATGTTAAACCTTAACCGCTACTCTCCCCCGCCCTGCGTCCCTCCCCCCCCCCATTCGTGGCGCTGATGTTTTCCAGCAGCTTTACCTTCCTGGCTCCACCCACACCCCAACCCCCCCCCCCCCATCCTACGCCCGTCCTTCCTGACTCCTCCTCTTACCCTATATAACAGTCTCTCATCACAAATAGCTCTCACCACAGTTGTTTTGCTGTGCCTTTTTTACACCTGATGAAGGAAGCTTGTGTTGCCTCTGAAACGTCGTGATTTTATTTTATTCATTATTATTAGTTTACCTACGTGACTTTACCTAAAGAACCAAATAGTATTTGGTAGGTGCTTGGGCAATGCAACATGTAAGTGCTTCATCTTCTTTGGTTCTTTCGGTAAAGTCACGTAGAATGAGAATAAAATAATAAATTGATAAATAAAATAACACAATAATATTCTCACGACGTTTCGGCCACAACACAAGCGGCCTTCATCAGGTGAAGGGACGAGACTGTCTGGAGGACAGCGCTGGAGTGAAAAAGCCACGCTCAGATCACGACCTTTAAGCTGTCGTGATCTGAGCGTGGCTTTTTCACTCCAGCACTGTCCTCCAGACAGTCTCGTCCCTTCACCTGATGAAGGCCGCTTGTGTTGTGGCCGAAAACGTCGTGAGAATATTATTGTGTTATTTTATTTTATCAATTTATTATTTTATTCTCATTCTACGTGACTTTACCGAAAGAACCAAAGAAGATGAATCCTTGCAGTCACAAAAGCTTTAAATCGAAATGTAAGTGCTTGCTAACATCACTTGTCCTCCGCAACGGCCTAATGAAGGCTTATGCAGGGATGTTTGTCTTTAAAAGCACTTTCCAATTAAGGTTGTAAACACTACGTCCGTGTGTCAATCCATCTTTAATGGGAGAGGGGGTGGTGGGGAGGGGCACGATAATTATTGTAAAGACGACCCAATATGAGCGAAACTTGAGAATGAAGTTGTGTTGCTTTTAAGGGTTCGCCCTGTAGGAAATCGACCTGACGAGTTTTCTAATGCTTAAGGGAAAAAAAAAGTGAAACGGTGCTAAAAGCACATGCCCAGGGTATCCCGGCCCAGCCAGCCAAGATGCCCTGACCTTGACAGGGTCGCTATCCAATCCCCGTTTTCCTATCTCGGCCTACGGATGTACCGCTCCCTACAATACCTTTAATTATCCTTAAAAAAAAATTCCGACAACCATGTATTGGAAGGCAACGCATAATGCATTCGTGCGTACGCATGATTTTTGTTCTCGATTGCATTTATGCATGCTGCTCCTCTTTCTTTTTGGTAGCATCAGCGGAGGCGTCCTTTACTCCTTCCTCACGTTCCGGGAGTCGCCGACTGAGAAGCAGGGAGGCTGATCCGGGCGACGCCAGGGCCCGTGCACGCGTCTCCCCCAACGCCCGCTCGCTAGCGCCAGGGTCCGTACGTGCAAGGGGCATGCGCGTGATGCTACGGTCACGTGTGAGCGTGTCCCCGCTCACACGTGCGCATGTCCGCACTCACCTTGCTGAGGGGGGGGGGGGGGGGGGGGGGGGGGGGGGGGGGGGGGGGGAGTGGCTGCCCTGCAAACATTGTGATAACCCACAAGAGATCATGGTCCAGAAAGTTTATCGAGCTTTTGTCGAGAGCAGGGCGAGCGAGTTAATTCCGTTTGTTGGCGCGGTCGTCCACAGGGAGATAATGCAATCGAACGCCATCAAAAGTGTAAAGTGTTCCAGCGAAGGCAGAATATGTTCGCTTGCACAAATTATATATATATCAATATATTACGTGGGTTATCAGGTTTTTCAGGACACCTCTCGATCAATTCCCACAACTGTTTACAGCGGACGGACGTACGATCAGCACAATCGTCGTATCTTAAAATCAACTTGTGAAGTGACTGGCCGAAATATAGATTTTTTTTTTTTTAAATACGTCCGTTTTGGTATATTCAGGAGCGCAGGGATTTGCAAACGCTTATCTTTGCATGTAAAGCTGAGGGGTTTTGCACAGCCAGCATAACGAATTGCTTCACCTTGCAGTGGATAATGACTCGGCTCTATACCACAGGACCTTTAAGCCATGACTATGAACTCGCACTGACCAGCGTGGTGAAGTATGGGTGAAACAATCTCCATGAACTAGCGCGGAATAAAAAGCCTTTATCAAACGGTGCATTGGATTAAAAAAAGGTGACATGCTAGATTTTTTTAGAGTATATTTGGGTCACATTGCAATACTTGACCTTTTTGGGTGTCTTTTACCTGGAATATAACTTAATTTTTAATTATGTATCTATCATTGGATTCACTGGTGTCTTTATTTGAAACCCCTCAATAGCACATTAAGATTAATGGCACCTGTTGTCAAGGAAAGGTGGGAATCTACGGTTACAAGGGGAATTTTTTTACACTTTTAAACAATAAAACGTGCAATTTTTACAATGTGTGTAAAACAGGAAACTTGCTGTTGGGATAAAGGAATCTGACACGACGACGTTGCTAGGTTAACTGGGTGTGTGGGTTTTACACAAGATTGTTATATTGGTTATATTTACAATATAGGGTGTGAAGAATCTGGTTTTTATATTTTCTGTAATGCAGAATTGGACGGTGTACGTGTGCATGTGTATAACAATGACCGTGGTTGTACTTTTTTTTATTCACAAGCATTTATTTTTAATTATAAAAGATTGCTAAACATCCCAATTTTAAAACATACAAAATTGCACACTTAAGCCACACTTCCCAACGTGGTTGCTTTGTCATTACCACTGGTTAATGCTGTGGCAGCCGTCCCAGTGCCGTATTCAGTAGCCAGGAATCCCCCCACAAAGCCTTGCCCAGCATAACGCGGCTAATGATGATGATTAAGCATCACCAATCCCTGTCCCATCACCTCCCTTCCAGTGGCACACATGATGGGAACGGAGGAGAGATTTTTTTAAAAAAAAATTCATTTCCTTCCAAACTATTTTCGTGGTATCCGAGTGGTCGATTGACCTCACCGGATGATCGGTAAGGGTCTCGTCGATTCACGTAATTAATCTGGAGAGCCCACCGCTGTTTGCGAGCGCTAAGTAAAAAAAGGAATTAAGGTAGCCATTTGTATTCGAAGCTATTGCCTTAAGTAGACCCCATGTAGATAGCCGGGAGAGTCGTGCGTGGTATAATCAAGCCACACCAAGTGTGCTCACTTTTGCACTTACATGCAGTCACTGTTCTACTGTCGTGCCTTTTCGTGATGGGGAGAGTGAGTTTGTGGGGAAGCAATGCTAATCATTTGTGGATATTATAGATAGAAATTACCAATGAACTGGGTTTTTACTTTCATTTTGGTCGGCGATGACATTGAGCGTGACGATGACTGTGAACTACTAAACCAAAAGTCCTAATCGCGACTGACTATGACGAAGTACAACTAACTTTCTGTGTCATAATCGAAGACGCAGATTTGGGTCATAAAGTAACGCGATGAGCGACTGCAGTGCAATGACAACTTTGAATGGTAATTGGTAGTTGCCAATATATGTACTCTACATAACAACATGTTTTATGAGTTCACTGATTGGCCGTACTGATAATATTGGGGGTGAGGGAGTATGGAAATAGTTCACCACTCGCCAACATTGAAAAACTCGGAGTGGACTCAATATTTGACCAATTTAGTCCTTCAGACGTCGAAGATGACTATTAAATGCACAGTGAAACTTGACTTAAAATTCCAAAAGTTATAAGATGGGCTTAAGACTGTGACAAAAATAAACAATGCTAACTTAATTTACACTTAGGTGTGAGGGTATGTGTGTCGCATGATATAAAACATGCGTAAAAAAATAATTGTCTACGTTACGATTGACTTTGAGGTGTATGTGTAGTGATGTTGCTACACTTTAAATAAATGTATTTAAGGGAATGGTTTTGGATCTGATTGAGCGTGACTGTCCATCCCCCCCCCAAGCCAACCAGCCAGCCAGCAAAACTTTTTTTCTCTCCACCGAAGACACGGCTGGGGTGGAGGGTGCGTGGGGGATGCGGTAAGTTCACGCTTACGAACCCGGCTTCACACTGCGGGATGCAGCCAGACGGGCAGGAAGCCAGCCAGAGACAAAGACGTTTTATTTATAATCTAGTCGGAAGTTGTTTGCAAAAAGGCAGCAACAAACAGCACGAACAAAGATTCTAAACGATAAAGAGTGAAACACGATGCTTTAATTGAGCAACGTTATAAGAATGCGTGGTGGGGTGGGAACAGAGACGGATGATGGGGGAGGGCATTACAAAGTGGAACATCACAAACCATTCTCGTTCACGCTCCTTCAACAGAGGAATGGCAAATACCACACAAACGCTCTCTCTCATGAAAGCCCTCTCTTGACTAGCAGACCTCGACATTGGCATTTCGCGCCTGAACATATTTGCATACGCGAGAATGGAATTACAAAGTGGGGCAGTGTGAGGGTATAATTTGAGAAGAGTTTTGTGATCTGTAGTGTGGTGAGTGGGTGAGTGTCTGTGCTTGGATTAGTGAGTTTTTATAACCTGCGGTGTGGCGAGTGGATGAGTGTGCGTGAATGAGTGAGTGGGTGAGTGAGTTGTTGTGACTTGCAGTGTTGTGAGTGGGTGAGTTTTGTGTGACCTGCAGTGTGGTGAGTGGGTGAGTGTGTGCGTGAATGAGCGAGTGGGTGAGTGAGTTTTGTGTGACCTGCAGTGTGGTGAGTGGGTGAGTGTGTGCGTGAATGAGCGAGTGGGTGAGTGAGTTTTTGGGTGACCTGCAGTGTGGTGAGTGGGTGTATGTGTGCGTGAATGAGCGAGTGGGTGAGTGAGTTTTGTGTGACCTGCAGTGTGGTGAGTGGGTGAGTGTGTGCGTGAATGAGCGAGTGGGTGAGTGAGTTTTTGGGTGACCTGCAGTGTGGTGAGTGGGTGAGTGTGTGCGTGAATGAGCGAGTGGGTGAGTGAGTTTTGTGTGACCTACAGTGTGGTGAGTGGGTGTGTGCGTGAATGAGTGAGTGGGTGAGTGAGTTTTTTGTGACTTGCAGTGTTGTGAGTAGGTGAGTTTTGTGTGACCTGCAGTGTGGTGAGTGGGTGTGTGCGTGAATGAGCGAGTGGGTGAGTGAGTTTTGTGTGACCTACAGTGGGTGTGTGCGTGAATGAGCGAGGGGGTGAGTTTTGTGTGACCTGCAGTGTGGTGAGTGGGTGAGTGTGTGCGTGAAGGAGTGAGTGGGTGAGTGAGTTGTTGTGACGCAGTATTGTGAGTGGGTGAGTTTTGTGTGACCTGCAGTGTGGTGAGTGGGTGAGTGTGTGCATGAATGAGCGAGTGGGTGAGTGAGTTTTGTGTGACCTGCAGTGTGGTGAGTGGGTGAGTGTGTGCGTGAATGAGCGAGTGGGTGAGTTTTTTTGTGACCTGCAGTGTGGTGAGTGTGTGCGTGAATGAGTGAGTGACCCATTCCTCAACGTGAGTGGAATAATTGGTGACCAGTAACCACGGATGCAGTGATCTCCGGAGAGTGACTGGAGTGAATTAGTGCTGAATCGTGCTTGTGGATTCAGGTAAGGCCCACTGAGTTATATAACACTTGTTGAGACATGACCTGGCCACACATAAGAGCCCATTGAAATGGCTCATCACGTGGAAATGTATAGCAACCAAATACTCTGAACGCGTGATGTTGATTATAAATGTGTAGGGGGAAAAAAACTGGATGACCCAGAGAAAAATCCACGCGACCACGGGGAGAGAGAGACACGCACACTCAACATATACAGCAGCAGGCGTCAGGGTTCGGGATTGAACTCACGCCCTCCTGTATACCAGGCGAGGTAGTCAACATCTCCTAGCCACTGTAGCGCCCTAATCGATCAGCAGGACGCGTCTAGTGGGGCAAAATGTGGGTAACGCTTACCTTTCGATTTAAAGCTTTCGTGACTGCAGGGATTCATATTCTTGGCTCTTTCGGTAAAGTCACCACGTAGAAGGGAAATAATAAAAAATAATGAAAATAAAACAATAGCAATTTCTTGCTGTGGTTCTCACACCTGACGCTGATTGCTTGCGTTGCAATCGAAACGTCGTGAGAATTTTATCGTTTTATTTTTATTATTTCCCTTCTACGTGATTTTACCGAAAGAGCCAAGAGTAGAACGCTTTACCTCTTGCAACACGTCTCGCCAGCGTGGGGGATGTCACAAACAACCCTCCAGCAGTGTTGGTGAGCGAGCAGTTTCAGGGCTGCACCTTTACCTGCACCTATTTCAGGAATATTTCGATGTTTTTTTCCTGTATTTTCTGTTTGCACAGTCACATAGTCACTTTTTAAGATGTTTTTCTTGTTCATGTTTTTTGTTTGTTGCGGTTGCACCCGATTCAAGAGCCGAATGGCTCACAGGGGCTATACCAAATAAATGAAACTATGAAACTATGTACCAGCAGGGAGGCGTTGATGTGACCGCAGTGTCGACAGCATCCCCTTGTGGCGTGATACAGCATCGCCTTTAACACCGAGCGTGGTTTTTTTGTAGAAGGCCTGTTCAACAGGCGGATGTGAAGCTTCGTCGGGGTGGGTGTTTTTTTTCTCCACATTAAATTCACCGAGACAGACGACGGTTGATATCATTAGGCAACTGGGTTATTGAATGGCAGCGCACTGATTGTGCATTGCCTATAGAGTACAGACAGTAAATGTGCACTCCGCTCATTCAAACACCCTTCAATAATACGTCAACGAACAGCAATTGTATATTCCTTGGTTCTTTCGGTAAAGTCACGTAGAAGGGAAACAATAAAAAAATTAAAATATATATACGTGACTTTACCGAAAGAACCAAGAATATGAATCCATGCAGTCACGAAAGCTTTAAATCAGCAATTGTATAGTTGCCTCAATCCAGCGGCGTGGGTTGGTGAACGCGGCTATACGCTTTTATAAAACTTCACACAATCTCCGCTTAAAATGCGACGAAAGCAATTCGAATAATGAAATGTGGTTTGGTAACGGCAACAACAAAATAAAATAAAAATTCCATGTCAGAAGTGGGATTCGAACCCACGCCTCCAGGGGAGACTGCGACCTGAACGCAGCGCCTTAGACCGCTCGGCCATCCTGACATCGCTGACGGTCTTCAGTAAAAACCGTCCACTTAACACCAAACAACGCGCGGCATTTGATGTTATGCTTGGTGATATTTCGTATTGTGAACACAATTATTGAACAAACCAACAATAATAATAGGGGCTTTCCCCTTTTTTTCTGGCAACAAAACTGAAGGCTTTTTACAAGGATTCATGTATGCATTAACCACAATACCTGCAGTCGAAATGCAAACAAAAAAACATACTATGATAATATATAGTGCATTGTCCTTGAAACTGATTGGTCCACACCAAGGGACGGCTTTCTTTTGAGCCTCGACCCAATTGGTGACGCCAAAGAGAGAGGTTTTTTTTGGGTTAGATCGCGTAAATATAAAGATGTGTTGTTAAAACCCGCCACCACCCGACACAGCCAACTAGTAAGGGTTGTCACGTAAACAGAACGTGGCCAATTCGTCACTAGTACAGCACTAACCGCTGTGTTGGAGAGCCACGGGGCCGTCCATAAATGACGTCACGCGATGTTGGACGATTTCTGACCCCCCCCCTCGTCACACGGCGTCACAAAAAGTCAGACCCCCCTCAAATATGACGTCACAAAGCTCTGCCCCCCCCCCCCAAATAAAACATGCTTCAAATCGCTTTAAACTATTGTCATTGTAGTGCGTATTTAATGTGCCGCTGCACTCTGATGTTGTAGGAGAAAACATTTATTAAAAAGTCTATTCAATTAAGTAGAACGTGTTGTCCATGTTAATTTAAAGTTACGCATTTTGATGTGACGTCACATTTCTCAAACCCCCCCCCCCCCCCCTTGTCACACATCGTCACAAATGTCTGACCCCCCCACCCCCACTCCTGGGTGCGTGACGTCATTTATGGACGGCCCCCAAGCCACAACATTTACAATCTGAGTACGACGTTTCGCCAGTAATTAAAACTGGCTTCATCAGGCGACAGCCAGATTTGTAGAGGTCCTCCTGTTTCGCTCCTTATATCGAGGCGTAGATGTGATGACCACGCTTCTGCACTCTTGCAAAATGATGGGGTGGGATTACTGAATCAACGTACATTATGCATTCTGCAAGCCCTTTGGACTTGAACCTTCCTGTCTGTTGTGTTTATTAAAATAGCCCTACCAACGGCAATCCCTATTGAAGTACGCTGCCCTTTGTAGGCATGCAATTAAATCATGTTTCATTTGATGATTCGCTTCCACGCAGCACTTTTTCAGGAATATTTTGCTGTTTTTTTTTTCCCTGGATTTTCTGCTTGCACAATCAGTCACTTTAAGATGTTTTCTTGTTCATGTTTTAGTTTTTTGTTTGTTGCGGTTGCACCCGATTCAAGAGCCGAATGAACAACTAAGACGGTAGCTATCCGAACGGTTAAAATTATTTTTATTTCTTTCAATTTCGATAAATTCTCTAATTAGTCTTAGCCAGTAGTAGCTAGTTTTGCACAAAACTTCAACATCATCAAAATCAATTGAGTGTCCTTGTTGGCACGCGTGTTCTGCTACTGCTGCCAATTGTATTTGGGAGTATTTAATGTTTCTCTGATGTTCTTTTAGTCTCATGCTAATCATTCGTCCTGTTTGCCCAACATAACATTTACCACACGTGCAGTTAATCCTGTAAACAACTTCTGTTGATAGCTTCGGTAATACATATTTTGTAGCAGATATTGGCTTCTGTATTTTATGTACCGTGCCAAATCTGACTCGGATGTTTTTTTTTCTTTCAAATATCTGGCTAGTTTATCAGTTACTCCCGCAATGTACGGTATTTTGATCGTTTTAATTACTTGGGCAGTTTCAATTCTCTTGTTAGTTGATTTGTTTTTGGTATTCAATGCCGTGTTGATTTGTGCATCATTGTAACCGTTCATTTGCAGCGCTTCTTTAACATGTTGAATTTCACTTCTCAGACTGTCACCATCTGACACTTTCTTAGCTCGATGAATGAGCGGGGTGATGGTGTGAGTGCATTCAGATAGGCGTCAGAATGCGTTTTCTTTCGGTAAACCCTGTGTTATTTTACCATTTCTACCCCGTCCGAGCAGAATATCCAGAAATGGTAAAGTTCTGTCAGCTTCCACTTCCATGGTGAACTGGATGGATGGGTTTTGCGAGTTGAGATGATTTAGAAATGCGTTCAGCCCATCTTTGCCGTGTGGCCAGACCACCAATGTGTCATCCACATATCTAAACCAAGCAGATGGTTTTAGCGTGCTTGCATGTTATTGGTTTTGTTTGAAAATCATCAATGTACAAGTTCGCAATCACAGCAGATAAAGGAGAGCCCATTGCTGCTCCTTCCTTTTGTTTATAGAAGTCACCTTGCCACAAGAAGTAGGTGTTCTTTAGACAGTGTTCAGCTAGTCTTGGGATATCTTTGGCTAAACCTTTGTTCGTTACCTGAGTGTCGAGTAATTTAATTGTCTCGTTGACCGGAACCCTCGTGAACAGAGAGGTCACATCAAATTTTACGAGAATGTCATTCGGGTTAAGCTTAATATCTTTCATTATATTTACGAGATGTTCAGAGTTTTTTTATGAACGAAGAGGTCCTACCCATGTAGGGCTGTATTTGTTTCGTTACGTATTGTGCTAATTTGTGCGTGGCAGAGCCTATTGTACTTACTATGGGTCTTAATGGGACATCAGGTTTGTGAATTTTTGGTGAGAATATTATTGTGTTATTTTATTTTATCAATTTATTATTTTATTCTCATTCTACGTGACTTTACCGAAAGAACCAAAGAAGAAGCCCATAAAGTCTTGGTGCCCTTGGTTTGATCAGGTATTGCTCTTCCTTCGGAATTGATGACTTGGCAATGATTGCCGTTGTTATACATTCCAAGGTGCTGGTTGGGTCTCGTTTATTTTTTTAATAATCAACAGGACAAAAATATATCCATGATAGAGGTTTTTTTTTTTGGGGGGGGGGGGGGGAGTTCGACTGCGTGAATATACAAAAAAACGTGCCAATTAGTTTCTACTCTATGTTTTTTTCGGTAAAGTCACTTGACACAGATATTCTGCTGTGACTGTTCCACCTGAAGACGGAAGCTTGTAGCTTGTGTTGCCTCCGAAACGTCGTGATTTAATTTAGTTGTTTTATTTTATTTTACCTACGTGACTTTACCGAAAAAACCAAAGAGTATGAATCCTTGCAGTCACGAAAGCTCCAAATCTAGAATTAGTTTCTACTCCAGCACACCGGTGTGGTGGACAGTAAACCCACAACATTTACCATTTGATTACGACTCGCTGCATGTTAAATACAAATAAAACATACAGTATGTATGTATGTGTGTTGAACTTCTTTCGCACCGTACGTAGACAACCGTGCTAATCGGAGGTGCAGGGGAAGGACAACAAACGGAATACTAAAAGCAGTTTTCAAGAAATTAGTTTGTCAATCTAGACGATTTAAAACTACATCGCTCCCAGTGGATTCCGAATATAGGAAGAGCGTTCCAGACGGCCACAGAAGCGCATCTGAACGCGAATTTGAATCATTGCTGTTGTAAATGATGCCCTCCCGGACGATCGTGTAACTAATGGGTTTTATTACAAACACGGTACTTTTTATGTGGACAGATAGATACTGCGTGTGAATGCTGCTTATATAATGTTTCGTAATTAAGAAGCTTCGACTATGAATGAAAAACTGCCACGACAACTATTCGGGTTGTGATTGATATCGATATTCATTCTAGAATTCGACGAATGCGAGTGATAACTTTCGTTCACATAAACACAACTTTGTAAACAATCGAATAAAGTAAAAATAAAAATCTTTAAATCAACACGTAATATTAAAACGCGAAAATCACCGCTGTACTCCCTCCCCGCTCGCCGTAGTTATTTTTTGCCGCAGTGACATTCACGAAGGATTGACGTCAACCTTGGTTGTGACGTCATTTTCAGAGCACCTTCTTTGATCACGTGTATGACGTCATCGCATTTTAGCCTCGTGCCTCTGCGACGTCATTACTTGTGCTGACGTCATCATCGCTCACGATTGAAGAAGCTATTTGGGTGGACATGAAGTCACGTCTTTGGTGCGAGGGGGGGGGGATGGTTTAAAAACTAAATTCGGGACGTCATCCCGTCACCGAAGTCACGTGCGCGCCGACGTCACAAAGTCACGTGAGAGAGACGAGCTCCGGCCAGAGGAAGAAGCGGAGCGAGAGAGACGCGAAGGGGGAAATTAACCATTAAAGAATAACGCTTAAACATTATTATTAGTAGTAGAAGTAGTTGTTGTTAAATAATAACAAGTTACACGATCGTCGACACAACTACGACGTCGTCGTCGTCATTATTATTATTTACAGGGTCCGCAGAGTCAGAAGAGGTTGAGCGAGGAGGTTGAATTAGCGGGGGATCTGATCCGGAGCTGTCGCGGTGGTTCAGGTGAGGAGTGGGGCCTGTGGGTCATCGGCGATGATCTCTCCACTGCTGGGGGTGCAGGCCTCTCCGAAGCGGGGGTCGCCGTCCGTCACACGATCACCGTCGTCATCACCATCGGCCGTGATCTCTCCGCTGCTAGACGCGGGGTTCATCTAAGCCTTGGCGATTCACATCAGTCTCATCGCCACCGTCAATCATGATCTATTCACTGCTGGGGTGAAGGCCTTCTATTCCAAGGCCTGCCCACGGCTTTTTAGAATTCGTCAAAACGCTGATTTCAGCCCGGCGAGAGAGAGAGAGATGCGCGTCGTAATATCATGTGTTGTAATGATTGTTGATTGCAGTTGTGACGACGAGTGGGTGTGACATTGATGAGGGATGCTGCTGCTGTGTTGTGCTTACAGTCATGGCCGCGCTCTCTCTTCTCTACGGCGGTGTCTCGCTCGCCTTCTGGAGCACGTTGACCATCGTGGGTGAGTCGAGTCCTGGATCTAGCCACGGGGGTCACCCACATTACCAGTTGTGCCTTGACGTAACCTTTCTTTCGCCACGGTGCCCGCCGATGTCCGTCTTGATGTGTCCCGTTATTTCACCAGTGTGGGTCAGTACGAATTATGCGCGTTTCAGATGTTCACCTTTATTTAAGCGTTTGTTGAATAGTTTTTTTTTATAGTCCTTTGTATAACCGTGAGGGGGTGAGGGGGGTTTACGGTGATCACCGTGGGTGCGTCCTTTAGTGAAACACGGGGGGAGTACAGTATTCGGATTCACCGTGATGACTGATTTGCACGTTCTTTTTGCCGCGGGTCGCATTGTAATCAAAGCGAGTGGACCTCATCGCTTTAACCAATTTGGGGGGCGGGGGTCACGTGCAGATTGATGGTGTTTTTTATGTGTCCTTTTATTTGCCGATGTGGAGGCATTGCGATTCACTGTTGTGAATGTCTTGTGCTGTGATCGCGGGGGCTTTGGCATTCACTGGATTCGTTACACGATTGTCCTTTATTTAACCGCAGATGACGCTGTGATTCCCTGTGCTTATTTTTTTTGGTATGTTAATTCAACTTGGGTGATACATCGACATGTAGATTCATTGCAATTGGCGTTTAACCGCGGGGCACATGGTCATCCACAGTGGGCGAGTGGAGTCCTTTATTAACCATTCAAGACACGCAGTGATTTTCTTTCGTTGTGTCTCCTTTCTTTAGCCATGAGTAAGCATTGAGATTGACTTTGAAGCTTGATGTCAACATTGAGTTCACCCGGGTGCACGACCACTCGCACCTTTATTGAACCATGGTCATTTTATTTTATTTCACATTCGCTGAGAGCTCATCGCACATCGTCGTCAGCCACGATAAATCCCACCGCTGGGATGAGGGCCTCCCCCGGTGCCATTGCCATTGCCATCTCTCACGGTTTTGCGATGCAACAATCCATCTCGCTTATTTCATTTCCACCACCCCCAGTACGTGTTGGAACGTTCTCACAGATGCGTTTTCCCTTCTTTGGCTGCTACTCTGTCATCCCTCTCGACCACCGACCGCGCCCCTTATAGCGGTGTCCTCGAACTTGTGTTTATACTCGAAGTCCACGTGTTCCTTGTCTGTCTCTTGGTGTTATTCAAATCATGGTCGTGGTAGTTAACTCAAGATTTTTCTTTCTTTAACCATGATGACAACGTTACATATTCAATGGGTTTCATGGTGATTAACCACGGGCCCTATCGAGATTCATTGTGGATGTATTTATTCCTTTTTTTAATCATGGAGCCACATGAACATTCACTGGGAGTTGATTACTGTTGTCCTTTATTTTGCCACAGTATGACACTGACATACACTTTGTTCATTGCTAACATATCGGTGCGAGTATTTGAGTGTTATTATCCACTCGTATGCTTGCTGGGTCTACTGCGGGTACTCTGGTTTCTTTCCACATGCAACACACTACTTAAAAGGAAGTATTATTTGGTGATGCAGCTGCTTTGGCAAATATATAATAGACAACTTTTGGGAAATGACCCTTCACACATGAATAGGCCAAAGATATAGAGTGGATAATAAGAGTTGGAAACTGCACTTTACACGATTCAGCCCTGCTTCGCTTGTCATTTCTGTGACATGTGCATTTCAAGTGAATTGGTCGTAAGCTCATTAATTTTGGAACTGATCTAACACTTTGTTTTTCCCTGAGCCTGCCATCACACCTTCCCATCTTCGCGACGCTCATTCTAAAAGAACTCCGGCATGTGTGACGTGAACAAAAATACCTGAACAAGCATCGAAACCTCCGATTTGTCCCACCACGCTAACCCATTCGTGCATTTCCCTCCCTCCTGCCCACCACCCCCCAAGGGATTTGCTACACTATCTTCGACCTCGGATTCCGGTTCGACATCGGATGGTGAGGACTCGACCGCTATGGGGCGGTTTTAGTGGTGGCACGTGCCGGTTGTGGCTGCTTTTCGGTTGGGGCAGGCTCACCGTGCGTGCGTGTATGTGTGTATACGTGCATGTGCTAGTGATACCAGACGCTTACTGTAAACAGAGCACAACGGGGGGGGGGGGGGGGAGAAGCGTGATAGTGGCAGGTCGTGTCCGCCCTCTGATGCCCAGTGCCCTTGGTCATTGGTTTCTTGAATTGCGTTGTTTAAAAAAAAAATCTAACTTTGTAACCAATTTGTTTCCGATGATGCCTTTGGTGTTGTATGCATCATGACACTGAGCAATCCATTCATTAAAAAAAAATTCATATAAAAAATTAAGTCCAGATCCAAATTTTACGGGACTATTTTTGTGCAGTCATTGGTGACTGGGATGAGCCCGTCGACTCACTCGAATTGAGAACCTGGTTTTTAATCACAACAACTTATTCTGTAAATCTATAGATACCCATAGTCATTTATATGCATTCGATAACCTCCCCCCACCACTTGATGCAAGAGAAGCGCACAAGTGTTGTCATCACATCTACCCCTCTGTCTGTCGCCTGATGAAGCTAGTTGTAATTACTGGCGAAACGTCGTACTCAGATTGTAAATGTTGTGGCTTGGCTCTCCAACACACCGGTGTGCTGTACTAGTAACGAATTGGCCACGTTCTGTTTACGTGACAAACCTTACTAATTCGCTCTGTCCGGTGGTGGCGGGTTTAACGACACATATTTACGTGATCTAACCCCAAAAAACCTGTTATCTATAGATATCTCATTACGAGTTTGTGGGTCTCGTCTAGGAAATGTATGGGTTTCTCTCAGTCACTGGTCATCAGACTGAGACCTGTCAACATCGCACCACGAGGGAACCCGCTTTAATCACAGGTGGTATCCGGAGTCTAACCCATAATTGAATGCCAGTTCTGCGCACTCACTTCTGAGTCATCTGGCCACTACTGCCTGCCGCCTCTGTAAGAGTGAGAGAGTGCTTAGATGCTGGAGTTGCGATGCACTCTCTCGGCATGTGACGACGCATCTATTAAAATAAAGGCTTATAACACCCATGATGCGTGCTTTGCATGGGCCATGTAAGAATCAATTGCTTTAGGGTTCATACAAAATGTATGCGAATATTAACCTGTGGGTTGAAGGTATGAATGAGTTTAAACAAAAGCGGCAGAACATCGGTGATAGGCAATTCAAACAGGGCGGTAAAAAGAATCGCCTCTTCAATGGAATTTGGTCGATCGGTCCACACAACCGACGCGGCATGGGGGACGGTCTTCATTCCAGCAGTGGATTGAGCACGACATTCACAGATAGTGCTCCTATTAGCTTTGTGGATTGCATGACTACTTGAGTTTTACCGAGGTTATTTTTTAAAATACTTGTACCACCAGTGATGACCTAAAACATTAATGATTGACACGTTTGTCACGGCCGATTTTTTTTGTCGTTTAATACGAACGGCTTTGCGTTCATGATATGATACCAATCGATGAAAGGGCTAGGGTTAAGTACAGTGTTGTATAGTGAAGCTGTTCAATGTTTTAATGTGGAGAAATTGGGTTAATACTGTCTTTGCTCAAAGTGCAAACATCACCCCGGTGATAAATCGCTTGAAAATGTTAATAATTTTCCATACCGCCGTTAGCTTTCTGCGATCTACTTCGGCTGTGTGAAGCAGGTGACGGCTGTAAATGGGATTCGAATGAATGAGTCTACGCAATTATAAAAAAATTTACCGCCTTTTTTTAACGCATTTTTAATTAATTTTCTAAAAGCCCTTTCTAACAAGTTTTGCCGGATTCGCATCGCACTTGCGCTACGAGCCTGGTGAGCAGAGTTCGAATCCTCGTCACGGGTTTCACGTCATTGGCGAGTGACATCTGGAACAGTTCTGGGCCCTTTCTTCTTTGCCATTTTGCTCTGACCAGTGTCGTGGTGACATTTGGTCAAACAACCCCCATGACCAACGTGGCATCAGGACGACTTCATCCAGCAGCAGTGGATTGACAAAAGGGCTGTACACATGTACCAGTGATTATTCTTCCACCTTACCATCGGTTGGGCAAACGTTCGATTGTCACAGTTTTGCCGAGGATAGTCAGAAATGTACAAATGATCGACCTCTCAGCTTGACCCTTAAGAACAATGTTAACTGCATTCGTAACAATTGACCCCTTGTTTGCACAAGAATTTACTCAGTGCTGCACTGTAGTCACACGCCCTTAATTATTCCAGCCTTTTTGTTATTTCCTATTCCAGCCTTTTTGTTATTTCCTGTCCACGTGGCTGACAATTGATTGAACATTTATAAGGTGGTGAATGTCCCACGTGAATACTGGCTCACATTTTTGCCAACCTCCGAGCAACGAAGGGCTGAGTTGAACTCCGACATGGCATCGCGAGACTTCCGGTTGCAAGTCAAGCGACGTGTTAAAGTGTTACATCACACTGTAACAGTGGTGAAGTGTTATTCCGAGTGCAGCCGTTATTGGTGTCATCTGTGTTCCATTGTCGTCTGGCTCGGAGCGGAACCGTGACTTGCCTACAAGCCGTTTGTCCTCTTGCCGTCAGGTTCCTGACCGAGACGTCCCCGTACATGTGGGCCAACCTTGGGATCGGCCTCGCCATTTCGCTGTCCGTGGTCGGAGCTGCCTGGTGAGAGGTCCCCACTCATACGTTCATTCGTTCGCTCACTCTCTTACTCACTCGTTCACTCACGTGTTCGTTCACAAATTTATTACGTGGTTGTAGCTAACGAATATGCGTAGGGCACGATAACGCAATCGGGATGGAGAGACCACCACCTAGCCACCGGCTAAAGCGTTTAGAGCACCTAGAGACATGCGTTTAGAGTATTTGGCTGCTCTATATTTCCACATGGTAAGCCACTTCGTTAAGCATTCATTTGTGGCCAGGTCAGTGGGCCTTTCCTGGTAAAATAAAATAAATAGTTTTAGTTTAAATCAACATAATCTGCGGTTATTTGGGCACTTCAATAAATCCTGAAGATTATTATTTTTTTTTAAACATGACTGTGTTGAGATGAAAGAGGGAGGGGCGGCACCCGAGCAAGGCTGGTGGGGGGGGGGATTTGGAGCACTGCAGACTGGACGAGCTCAAACCACAGTCAGCTGATCCGCGAGGGTGGTGGAGTGGGGGGGATGGTGAAGGTGGTGAGAGGTGGAGGGGAGATCGAGATGGGGGGGCTGCCAGAGCGGGGCTCCAACAGCCTTATCGCTAGATCCAACATAGAGGGTGGATGGATATTTGGCACTTGTTTCTGATCCATATCTCACAGCAGGAAAAATAAAACATGCTAATACAGTAACATTCTTCTGTGGGTACGTCCGTATGTAGCTTTTCGTTAAGTTATTTTTTTTTTACAAAATCGCAATGACAATGTAACAAAAGATGCAAACTGTGTAAAGAAGCATTGGGAGGGGGGGGGAGGTGGTGCATGGGAGATGGCAACGACTTGGGGAAGCCTTCATCCAGCAGTGGATAGATGGTGGCGCATTATTGTTATGATTTTGGAAGTTGGTTTTGTGTGTATATTCCAAAACGAAAATTAATCTTGACATGTAGGAGTGGATTTATGAAATTAATAAATGTATCTTAATTGATTCAGATGTATTTGGTGTTATTTTATTGGAATGTATTTGTTGAGCTTACTATTTCTGTTTAATATTTATTCAGGACTATTATGAAATGTATCGTATTCGTTGTATATGTAACACTTACTTAAATACATTTACATTGTAAGTTCAATTTGGTGAGAGATGTCGATAGCTTGGTGAGGTCTCTGTCCATCAGTGGATTGATCCCAGCCGCTGATGGTTAATAGTAATAATGTGATTATCTCGTTGTTATAATGCTAAAAAAATCTGCCGTCCTTCCAACATCAACTGCTCATCTGCTCATCCGTCCTCACCCGTGAATGTGACTTGCGGTGTGCTTTGCTGTGACCTTGAGTCAGCTTGAGTCAGACTGGTCTGGTGGGTGTGTGCTCGCGCGCACACGACTGTGAGAATCTTGGCCAAACAGGTTCACTGCTGTTGGATCCATGCTTAGAAATAATGCGCGTATAGAGAGGGAGGGAAGGAGCTTTTGTTGGTGTGTTGTGCCCTTGCCAAGAAATCAACACTTTACACAAACACACACACACACACGCGTTTACTTGTGTAAACAATGACTTCTGGTTTGTGTATTCGTGGAAAACTGTTTTTCCTCACATTTTTCCATGAAAATGTACGAAGTTTTTCCTGCAAAATGATGCCACAAACCACTTTTCCGCAAATACAAACACTCGGGCTAAGGCACACACTCCACAAATTACCCATGATCACCACCCAGTCTTGTCAGGGCCCACCGGCCTTGCCCAAATGGTTTTGTGGGTGGGCAAAGTCTCGACGGTAGATCACTCGCCAAATTATTCCTCCAATATGAATAAGTATTCTGATTATGAAATCTCAAGTTTACCACGTCCCAGTGCGATTCTTGTGCCGCGTACGCTGTCATAGCTTGTCGTCTCTTGTTATGAACGTGTGCATATAAACATAATTGTTTTGTACGTATTGTATTGTGAACAATACCGTACTGCAATTTGAATTTACTGTGTGCAGCCTCGTGAGCAGCAGTGATCTACCCACTGCTAGATGAAGGCCTCCCCGATTCCCCGTTGGTTGTCGGTGTATTTTTAGAACGCTTCACCGACCTGCCGCTGACTATCGCGGTTTGGTGGTAGCGCTATTATCTCGATAGTTTCACACGGCCGTGTCGACGCGGTTCCCAAAGCAAACGGCGTGAACGCACCCCCTCCCCCCCCCACCCGACGCACGCGACGTACGCTCTCATATTCGTCTGCACGCGTTCTTCCCCAGGGGCATCTACATGACCGGCTCCAGCATCATCGGCGGCGGAGTGAAGGCACCGCGCATCCGCACCAAGAACCTGGTCAGGTGAGCCCCAAGAGGCCCAGTCAGGTGACCCGGTTGGGTTCAGCGGAGCTATGATTCGCGACAGTTTATGCACCAGGGTAGGTGAATCGGAGGCGTCTGTCAACAAGTTCCAGTGCTTTGTGCGAAGGCAGTAGCAGTGGGTGGTTGTCTTTACGACAGAAGGTCTGGGCTGTGTCAGAAAACATGGGATATACGGCATTGGCTACGTGACAAGCCGTTGTACTTGGTGGTCATCCATGTCCCCCCAGCACTATCCAGGCCCAGTGCTGCTTCGCTTCCGTGATCTGACGAGACCGGGGCACAGTCCGGGTGATTTGATCGTAGGTTTTCCCATCATGTGGCGTGTAAAGCGCGAAGCCACGATGCATCATGCGTAACCATGTGAAAGGGGGCGTCCAGCAGTCGTACCTGAAGCTGTTTTGATGTCGGTGACCGGTCGGTACGTCTCCCCCAACGCTCTCTCCGCTCTCCGTCCCTGCCTCTCTTTTTTTCCCATGCAGCATCATCTTCTGTGAAGCCGTCGCCATCTATGGAATCATCATGGCCATCGTCATCAGCAACCTCGCCGAGGTGAGCGACCAAACTAAATGCCACCGCTTGAGCGGAATATGTTCGTGTTTACTTTTGGCGACGCATGTGTACATCCTTATACAGTAAAACCTTGGATTGCGAGTAACTTGGTCTGCGAGTGTTTTGCAAGACGAGCTAAATTTTAAATAAATATTAATTTGATAAACGAGCGAGGTCTTGCAATACGAGTAGTACGTAGACGCTTTGTCTGCTGAGCATCACGTGATCACAACTGATATACGAGTGCTTTAATATACGAGTGCTTTGGATTACAAACACGTTTCCGGAACGAATTATCCTCTCAATCCAAGGTTTTACTGCATATTATTTACTTGTGGCTCCGCGTGTGTGTACGTGTCTGTAAATGCCTGTGTTTATTGTTTTGTGTTGCAGCCTTTTAAAGGAGCCATCCCTGAGCTCATTGGTAACCGCAACTACCACGCAGGTACGGCACGGCACGCATTCCGCAGTACGGCACAATACAGCAACAACAGAGGTCCCCCATATAGCCTTCAACAGACTTTTGGAGCAAGTTCTGCTTGCAAGCACTTAACAAGGCCGGCATGGCTCGCGGGGCGGGGGGGGGGAGGGTGGCCAATACCACGTCTGGTGCATGATTGTGTGCCGCAGTGCACTTTGGCACATTGTTGTGTTGTGCTGCCCCTCTCCCGACAGGCTACGCTATGTTCGGGGCCGGCCTCACCGTCGGCTTCTCGAACCTCTTCTGCGGAGTGTGCGTGGGGGTGGTGGGGAGTGGAGCGGCGCTTGCCGACGCGCAGAACGCTTCTCTCTTCGTCAAGATCCTCATCGTGGAGATCTTCGGCAGCGCCATCGGCCTCTTCGGCGTCATCGTCTCCATCCTGCAGGTGGGCGGCGGACGTGGGGTTGTGTGTGGGGTTGTAGGTGGGGTTGTGGGTGGGGTTGTGGGTGGGGTTGTGGGTGGGGTTGTGGGTGGGGTTGTGGGTGGGGTTGTGGGTGGGGTCGTGGGTGGGGTCGTGGGTGGGGTCGTGGGTGGGGTCGTGGGTGGGGTCGTGGGTGGGGTCGTGGGTGGGGTCATGGGTGGGGTCGTAGGTGGGGTCGTAGGTGGGGTCGTCGGTGGGGCTGTAGGTGGGGCTGTAGGTGGGGCTGTAGGTGGGGCTGTAGGTGGGGCTGTAGGTGGGGCTGTAGGTGGGGCTGTAGGTGGGGTTGTAGGTGGGGTTGTAGGTGGGGCTGTAGGTGGGGCTGTAGGTGGGGTTGTAGGTGGGGCTGTAGGTGGGGCTGTAGGTGGGGCTGTAGGTGGGGCTGTAGGTGGGGTTGTAGGTGGGGCTGTAGGTGGGGTTGTAGGTGGGGCTGTAGGTGGGGCTGTAGGTGGAGCTGTAGTTGGGGTTGTAGGTGGGGCTGTAGGTGGGGCTGTAGGTGGGGCTGTAGGTGGGGCTGTAGGTGGGGCTGTAGGTGGGGTTGTTGGTGGGGCTGTAGTTGGGGCTGTAGGTGGGGCTGTAGGTGGGGTTGTAGGTGGGGTTGTAGGTGGGGCTGTAGGGGTGCGGTTATGGGGCTGTGGCGCTACGGTAACGATGGACATTGTTGGAGCTGGGCTATCCAATTAATTCAGTGATCGATTACTCTATCGATTATCAATTCTTTATTAGACTATATGTGTAACACGTTGGATAAAAAAGATTCAACTCTGATTATCATTTTGGGTCGATTAATAAACTAAATTGCAGTGTATGCATTTACCAAGCAACTATATGCATGTATGTTAAGCGTCTCTCGCACCATACATAGCCAACCTTGCTAATCGGAGGTGCAGGGAAAGGACAATGATTTACTTGCTGGCATCGTTTTGTTTGTGTTTTACGCAGACATCGAAAGTGAAAATGGGAGACTGAGCCTTACAAGTGACAGCTGCTGTTGGTGACCAGAACGCACGTTCAGTCCACAACCAGCGAACGCACGACTCCTAACCCTAATCCCATGCACATACACTTACACACGTACATACATGTGTATACACACGAGCTTGTACACGAGCCACACACTGTCATACATTAAACACACAACCATTATACATAGACCCACACACAACCCACACACACTCACACACATAATATACACACCGCAAAGACATACACCCACACATACATCATTCACATGTATACCCATTCACTTATGCACATATCCCACTCACACATGCAAAGACACACACACACATATCAACCCACACAAATACACACAACCCACATGCATATACACACACACACACCGTACATGTGCACGCACACACCCCTATACACCAACTGCCCCGCATGATGCCCACGCATACATGCGTGCACACCCCGCGTGAACACCCACCCCGCACACACACACACTCTGCACACACACCCTGCACTCGAACACCCACCCTGCACATACACACATCTGCCTAAGGACACCTACGAGCGCGCTCTCTGGAAACTCCCCCTGTTGAAGCTTAACACTGGGCGGCCACCGCTAAAATCACCGCAGGCGCAGCGTTTATTCGTGACTACAAACCGGTCCGCTGCACGAGAGCCATCCTCGCTCCTCTGCCGGCACCTGAAGGCTCTTCGAGACATTTCGATTCAGTCCTCGCCGATCGTAGCTGTTTCCGAGGGATTGATATGAGAGCGTCTATTTAAGATTGAACTACCCAACGAGGTATTGTGGGTGAGAGACCACTTGATTATTTTTACAATCCCGTGTTGAGGGGGGGTGGCAGTCTTGGTGTAGAATTCTTGACGTGTGCATGTGTGGGCAGCTGCCAGATTGTCAGGGGAAAGTTTCCAGTTCTGCTTGGGTGTGTGTGACCCGCCAGAACTGGCGTCATTTACAGTTATAATTGTGTAATTTGTAATGAAAGCGGTCGAAATTGCAGATAGCAGTTATAACCACACATTAATACCCTGAATAAAACAAAGATACACGCACCTTCACAACAACAACCGCCTTTCGCCACTTAAGTGGTGGTAATATCACCATGGTGTTTGTGCCAGGCTCGGTGCACTTTGTGTGTGTGTCCACCACGTACAAAGACGTACACGTACCCAAGGTCACCTAAGTACAGAGACTCGCAACTCGAAACTCCCCCTGTCGCAGTTTAACCTCTTCCAGTCTGACCATTGGGCCGGCACTGCGAACAATCACTGCCGGGAGAGTCGATGCTCAAGTACAAACAGATCCGCTTCGCGAGACGCACTCGCACTACCATCGCGTCAAGGCTCTCTCGCTCTGAAGGGCTGTTCCTTTTACATAGATTTCTGTTTCATCCGCACCGATTCTTATTTGTACGTATGTTGAACTTCTTTCGCACCGTACGTAGCCGACCGTGCTAGTCGGTGGTGCGGGGGGAAGGATAACAAACTAAACACAAAAAGCAGTTGTAAAGAGATGAGTTTTCAGTCGAGATTATTTAAAAGTGCATAGCTCCAGTGGCTTCCGCATATCGAAAGGAAGAGCGTTCCAGAGGGCTGCAGAAGCGCCTCTGAAAGCGCGCGATGCGGTGACCGTCTTTGTCCAAATGGCTAGCCAAAAGCCGCTGCTTGCGAGGATGACCGGAATTTGCGTGACAGCTTATGCTCCTACTCATTGACGAGATCAGCAAGGTATTGTGGTTAATTTGTTGCAAGCACTGGTGTCTAATGAGTGCGACATTATAATGCGAGCTGTTTGAGATGAGTGCCCGTTGCCGATTTTGAACGCCTACCGTGGTAGGGGCGGACTCGCCGATTCACGGACACCGCTTTACGAATCTCCACGGTCGATCCGTGCCTCGTAGCAGGCCACATGTAGACTACCTGGCATGTGCTTCTGAACGAGAGCTGGTCATCGGTAGTTGGGGAGGAGTTTCCAATTGTGTCAGTCTATCCGTGTGTGTGTGTGCGTGTGCTAGACCTGGAGTCGGTTACAAATGCGTTATCGCGTCACTTTGCAATCGCAATGCAAGTGCAACAACAACAAAAAAAAACAATATCGGGATTGCGGTTGCAGCCAACATCGCTGCTGTTCTCGTGGTTGGTTCCAGCTCTGGTACGTGCTCGCTTGCCAATGCGCTCGCGCGCTTTCATCTGCACTCTCTGGCCATGCACATTCGGGCTATGCGCACCCACGTGCTGGGTCGTGTGCCGTGGGACACGTGGCAACGGAGAAGCGTGACGGACGTTGTAACATGTGGGGGTTTTTTTTATTAAAATTTCCAGCGTTGATACATTCCATGATTGGATTCAGAATGTAATCGCCAATCACCAGGAATGTGTCCTGTTTCGTAAGCCAAGCAGAGACGAGCCTGGATAATGTTTGGATGGGCGATCACAACGTACAAAATTTGTATTGTATAGTACCGCTGTTGGGCTACATTGCCAGCAGAAGGCGGCAGTTCAGCATCTATACTCCACCAACCAGCACTGCCCAGCGGGCATTATGGTCAAATAACACCCATGACCCACACAGCATAAGGAGGCCCTCAGCCAGCAGTGGATTAACTCGAGGACTGAACATGTGATTCTGACTCCACCCAACCAGTGGCGGTGCACATCCGAGGTTGTCACAGTTTTGCCGAGGACAGTGGGACATTCCAAACGGTTATCATCTCGGCTTGCTTAGCCATTAATAAACAACGCTGACTGCATTGATCACAATTCACCTGTTTATTTGCACTGCAATTTAGTTATTGCTGCACTGAAGCCGCGCGGCCGTAATTTTTCCGGTCATGTGTTTAGCATCATGCCACATGTATCGTTGTTCAAAGACGAATAGATGTTTGAGGCGAGCGATTATATCACGATTGCTTTCGGTTGCGTCTGGGGTACACGGACCTGAGCACAAACAACTGTCGAATCACAACTAAGTAAAAACAGAGTAGACCCAAGTCTTCTTTCGCTGAAAGGTTTGGTCTGATTTGTTTTGGCAGCAAATCGGCTCCCTTAAAAAAAATAACTCTTCCGTAATTTTGCATCTTTTTTTTCTTTCGTTATGTTCAGGTGCGGGAGAGTATTGAGATTTGTTAAAATGCACGCAGCCGATCAATACAAAGAGACACACGGCAACCTTGTTCGTTTCGGAATGCTGTATTAATTCTTGCCACGTGTAAATGGCTTAAACAGAATTGAATGTTTGGAAGTGGTGTAGTTGACGTGCGAAACGTGTGTAGTGTAATGTGTGCTCGTCTAAACGTTCCTTCCACCCTCCCCTGGCTCCGGTGTGGTTTAGCAGTCGTGTGAGAGTAGCGGTAACCTCGTTGTGTGGCAGCAAAAACCCTCGATGTGCTGTATTTAATTTTAAGAGGCTTGCCACGGTGCACCGTTTCCTCGCATTGAGTGGCTTGCTTGTCGCTTGAGTGTCGCGCGATTCCTTACGAACTTTATGACCCCCACCACCACCACCTTATCCTTCCTCTTTGAAATGGTTACAGCCAGGGGGTTGTGCGCTGTGTCCTCGAAATAGCATGGGTGGATGAAATGCCACCACGTCCCGCACGCATTGGAAGTGGGGTCGATCGGCAAGGTCACGCGTGGTGTGGGTGAAGTATGGGTACTCCCACCTCTTTAAGATGTCTGGCTGGTGTGGAAGAGTAGGCCAAAAGAGCCCGATAGATCTCCCTCTGGTGATGTGAGTAATCGGTTTGAAGGGCTGCTCCTTTTACACACACAAACTTTTGGGGGGGGGGGGACCCCTAAAAAAAGAGAATGTAAAATCACGTTCGCACAGCTCGCCAGAGGCGTGCAAATGCGGATGCTGATTTGATGACGGGATGCGTTTGCACTCGGTGCAGATTTATCACAAGCCAGGACAGCAGTCCCACTTTGGTACCGTGCTGCAACTCATTGTGGCAAAGAATTGTGTGTGTTGCAAAATTGGCTTGTGATTTTTTTTAAACTGTAATTTGATTGTTTTATATTGCTTTTTGTGTATATTATACCAAGCAATATAAATGCAACTCCTGGTTGTAAATGCGCAAAATTTTGCCTTTGTGGAATATTATTGGTGGTTTGTAAGGAAAGTGAGTGGATTATCCCGGCATTTCGAGGACACTCTGGGAGTTGCTTTTGCCCTGGGCTGTGCCGTTAATTGATTTGGTTCCCCAATCCCCCCCCCCCCCCCAGTATCTACGCGTGTTGAATATTCACGGACGCGCGGTGGGAATTGTTGTAAATTGCAATGCTCAATTAAAATTTTAAATAGTGTGACGCTCCTGTCTGCTTGTGGACACTTATTGAAAACGACATCACGCTGATACGTTCGTCTTCCCACACAAATCTGGCTGTCGCATGATGAAGCTAGTTGTAATTTACTGGCGAAACGTCGTTCTCGGATTGTAAATGTTGTGGCTTGGCTCTCCAACACAGCGGTTAATGCTGTACTAGTGACGAATTTGCCACGTTCTGTTTACGTGACAAACCCTTACTAGTTGGCTGTGTTGCGTGCTGACGGGTTTTAACGACACATTTAAGTGATCTAACCCAAAAAAAAACTCTTATTATGGACGTTCGTTTTTGTGTGCAGTGTTTTTGTTGTATATTAACTCAAATCTGAATACATTTAATATAAAAGCCTGCAAACAAGGTTTTTTGTTACATTTCAGGGGATATTCCGGGTGAACTATTCTAAGTGCATATAGTAACTTGGGAATCCATTTATAGATACCACCACTGATTTTTGATAAAAAAACGAAAATACGTAATGCAATATATAACATACACAATATTTCATGGGAACCCTAAGGTCGTGGTTGCAACATCTGAGGATGTGACGTTTATGCTAAATATTGTAGAAAATATATTGTATTTTTTTCCGGGGGAAATTAATAGAAAGTCAACTTTTCCTCATCGAAAATATTTCCACAAATATTTTAAAAGTGTCGTAAAATATGAAAAGTTGTGCTGGTTGACCGGAGGGATGGACGGTTTCGTCCAATAAACGTACGGGCTGCTAAAAAAAATATTGGTTAAAATGACACGTGTTATCCTTAATAATGAATAAAAGTCGACAAAATTTCACATTTTGAAAATAACTTGAGAAAAACAAATATCATGACGAGAAATTGAGTTCACGTGAATCCTGCAGACGCTAGGAGGGCGCTACGGACACTTCCGTTAATCCGCGCCACCAGCAAAAGCTCAACAATTTCAATTTATGGTAGATATGTAATAGCATAATCATAATAAAGAGGATTTGCAATAATGACAAAAATACATTGCCTTTTGTTTTGTATATTCTCCACAATTACACTATTGATTAGTTTGTGTTGTGTATTATTTAGTTTTGCGTCGAGCTAGCGACATGTATAGCCCATGCGCATCTTCACAGTTCAGCATTGATTCAAGCAAGTCTGACTACTGATGAGCCACTGAATGTCGAAACTTGTCCAGAGTTATCCTGTATTGAATCAACAGTGGTGCAAGCCTGACTACTGATGAGCCACTGAATGTCGAAACTTGTCCAGAGTTATCCTGTATTGAATCAACAATGGTTTAAGTCTGACTGCTGATGAGACACTGACTGCTGTTGAGACACTGACTGCTGATGAGACACTGACTGTTGATGAGACACTGACTGCTGATGAGACACTGACTTGATGAGACACTGACTGCTGATGAGACACTGACTGTTGATGAGACACTGCTGATGAGACAGTGACTGCTGATGAGACACTGACTACTGATGAGACACTGTTGATGAGACACTGCTGATGAGACACTGACTGCTGATGAGACACTGACTGCTGATGAGACACTGCTGATGCGACACTGTTGATGAGACACTGACTGCTGATGAGACACTGACTGCTGATGAGACACTGACTGTTGATGAGACACTGACTGCTGATGAGACACTGACTGTTGATGAGACACTGACTGCTGATGAGACACTGACTGTTGATGAGACACTGCTGATGAGACAGTGACTGCTGATGAGACACTGACTACTGATGAGACACTGTTGATGAGACACTGCTGATGAGACACTGACTGCTGATGAGACACTGACTGCTGATGAGACACTGCTGATGCGACACTGTTGATGAGACACTGACTGCTGATGAGACAGTGACTACTGATGAGACACTGACTGCTGATGAGACACTGACTACTGATGAGACACTGTTGATGAGACACTGCTGATGAGACACTGACTGCTGATGAGACACTGACTGCTGATGAGACAGTGACTACTGATGAGACACTGCTGATGAGACTGACTGCTGATGAGACACTGACTGTTGATGAGACACTGCTGATGAGACAGTGACTGCTGATGAGACACTGACTACTGATGAGACACTGTTGATGAGACACTGCTGATGAGACACTGACTGCTGATGAGACACTGACTGCTGATGAGACACTGCTGATGCGACACTGTTGATGAGACACTGACTGCTGATGAGACAGTGACTACTGATGAGACACTGACTGCTGATGAGACACTGACTACTGATGATACACTGTTGATGAGACACTGCTGATGAGACACTGACTGCTGATGAGACACTGACTGCTGATGAGACAGTGACTACTGATGAGACACTGCTGATGAGACTGACTGCTGATGAGACACTGACTGCTGATGAGACACTGTTGATGAGACACTGCTGATGAGACACTGACTGCTGATGAGACAGTGACTGCTGATGAGACAGTGACTGCTGATGAGACACTGACTGCTGATGAGACTGCTGATGCGACACTGACTGCTGATGAGACACTGCTGATGAGACACTGTTGATGAGACACTGTTGATGAGACACTGCTGATGCGACACTGCTGATGAGACACTGACTGTTGATGAGACACTGACTGCTGATGAGACACTGCTGATGAGACACTGTTGATGAGACACTGACTGTTGATGAGACACTGCTGATGAGACAGTGACTGTTGATGAGACACTGCTGATGAGACACTGACTGCTGATGAGACACTGCTGATGAGACACTGCTGATGAGACACTGCTGATGAGACACTGCTGTTGAGACACTGTTGATGAGACACTGTTGATGAGACACTGTTGATGAGACACTGCTGTTGAGACACTGTTGATGAGACACTGTTGATGAGACACTGCTGATGAGACACTGCTGTTGAGACACTGTTGATGAGACACTGACTGCTGATGAGACACTGACTGCTGAAGAGACACCGCTGATGAGACACTGCTGATGAGACACTGTTGATGAGACACTGACTACTGATGAGACTGCTGATGAGAGACTGACTGATGATGAGACACTGTTGATAAGACACTGCTGATGAGACACTGACTACTGATGAGACTGCTGATGAGACACTGTTGATGAGACACTGACTACTGATGAGACACTGCTGATGAGACACTGCTGATGAGACACTGACTGTTGATGAGACACTGCTGATGAGACACTGCTGATGAGACACTGCTGATGAGACACTGACTGTTGATGAGACACTGTTGATGAGACACTGCTGATGAGACACTGCTGTTGAGACACTGTTGATGAGACACTGCTGATGAGACACTGCTGATGAGACACTGCTGATAAGACACTGCTGATGAGACACTGACTACTGATGAGACTGCTGATGAGACACTGTTGATGAGACACTGACTACTGATGAGAGACTGACTGCTGATGAGACACTGTTGATGAGACACTGCTGATGAGACACTGACTACTGATGAGACTGCTGATGAGACACTGTTGATGAGACACTGACTACTGATGAGACTGCTGATGAGACACTGTTGATGAGACACTGACTACTGATGAGACTGCTGATGAGAGACTGACTGCTGATGAGACACTGTTGATGAGACACTGCTGATGAGACACTGCTGTTGAGACACTGTTGATGAGACACTGCTGTTGAGACACTGCTGATGAGACACTGTTGATGAGACACTGACTGTTGATGAGAGACTGCTGATGAGACTGCTGATGAGAGACTGACTGATGATGAGACACTGCTGATGAGACACTGCTGATGAGACACTGACTACTGATGAGACACTGTTGATGAGACACTGACTACTGATGAGACTGCTGATGAGAGACTGACTGATGATGAGACACTGTTGATAAGACACTGACTACTGATGAGACTGCTGATGAGACACTGACTGCTGATGAGACACTGCTGATGAGACACTGTTGATGAGACACTGCTGATGAGACACTGCTGATGAGACACTGCTGATGAGACACTGACTGTTGATGAGATACTGACTGCTGATGAGACACTGAAAGTTACGCTTGTGTTGAACCAATGCTGCTGAAATGATGCACTCCCGGACGGCCGTGCGTTGAATGGGATGAGTCTTAAATAGTGTGTGCATCTTCTTGATTCTTTAGGTAAAGTCACGTAGAAGGGAAATAATAAAATAATAAAAATAACACATCACAAAATAAAATTCTCACGACGTTTCGGCCACAACACAAGCAGCCGTCATAAATTGCATCGCGTTCGTTTTTTTTAATATATAAAAATCATCAGTGAGGGTATCGATAAATTCCGTCCAGAATGGCAATGACCTGGCCAACCACCCCCACGCCTTGCTCTTAAGAGTCAGGTGTTGCCCGACCCCGTCGATGCAACCGGTAATGCCGTCCAGAATGTTGCAATGTAATGATGTTGAATGGAGGATGCGGTATTTTAAATAAATTTATTTTTATTTAAAAATAAATCAAAATACCGCATCCCTTATCGGCTGTTTCCGTGATAACCAACACGCATACGGTGGCCGCAAGGTCATGACCACCAAACGCGTTTTGTAATGCACGTGGACCCTTCCTACACAACAGCGCAATCATTACAATAATAATTATTAGATATTAACAATCGATTTGTTGGTGTTGCTGACGACTGCTATCCGCTTGCACAACATACCGTCTGCGTTTAGAACTCTGGAGTGCGCGCGTTTATTTATTTTTATTCTCTGAAGGAACGTCACCACTTGCTGAGGGCAGTTCTGTTAGTCCGACCCTGGGCTCGGCTTTAAGTTGTTAATGGTTCGATTAAAACGACGTTTTAAAGTCACCGCGGACGACGCGACGCTTTGTTGAGCGAGATATTTGGTGTTCGAACGGGCACGGGCCGAACGAGACACGACACTTTGAGCGTTCGACTCGAAGCAAAATAAAAAATAAAGAAATCTCTCGCGGAAAGTCATCGCCGAGGCCTGGAGTGAAGCCTGCGGGCCAAGGCCTCTACCGTGCCCCTCTCTGTCGGTAAAGACGCGTGCGAGTGTGTGTGTCTGTGTGTGTGTCTGTGTGCGTGTGTCTGTGTGCGTGTGTCTGTGTGCGTGCGTGTGTCTGTGTGTGTGTCTGCGTGTGTGTGTGTGTGTGTCTGTGTGTGTGTGTCTGTGTGCGTGTGTGTCTGTGTGTGCGTGTGTGTGGTGTCTGTGTCTGCGCGTCTGTGTGTGTCTCTGTGTGTGTGTCTGCGTGTGTGTGTCTGTGTGTGTCTGTGTGTCTGTGTGTGTGTGTGTCTGTCTGTGTGTGTCTGTGTGTGTGTGTCTGTGCGTGTGTGTCTGTCTGTGTGTGTGTCTGTGTGTGTGTCTGTGTGCGTGTGTGTCTGTGTGTCTGTGTGTCTGTGCGTGTGTGTGTCTGTGTGTGTGTGTCTGTGTGTGCGTGTGTCTGTGTGTGCGCGTCTGTGTGTGTCTGTGTGTGTGTGTGTCTGCGTGTGTGTGTCTGTGTGTGTGTCTGTGTGTGTGTCTGTGTGCGTGTGTGTCTGTGTGTGTGTGTCTGTGTGTGTGTCTGTGTGTCTGTGCGTGTGTGTCTGCGTGTGTCTGTGTGTGTGTCTGTGTGCGTGTGTCTGTGTGCGTGCGTGTGTCTGTGTGTGTGCGTATGTCTGTGTGTGTGTGTCTGCGTGTGTGTGTGTCTGTGTGTGTGTGTCTGTGTGTGTGTGTCTGTGTGCGTGTGTGTCTGTGTGTGCGTGTGTGTGGTGTCTGTGTCTGCGCGTCTGTGTGTGTCTCTGTGTGTGTGTCTGCGTGTGTGTGTCTGTGTGTGTCTGTGTGTCTGTGTGTGTGTGTGTCTGTCTGTGTGTGTCTGTGTGTGTGTGTCTGTGCGTGTGTGTCTGTGTGTCTGTCTGTGTGTGTGTCTGTGTGTGTCTGTGTGTGTGTCTGTGTGCGTGTGTGTCTGTGTGTGTGTGTCTGTGTGTCTGTGCGTGTGTGTGTGTCTGTGTGTGTGTGTCTGTGTGTGACTGTGTGTGTGTGTGCGTGTGTCTGTGCGTGTGTCTGTGTGTGTGTCTGTGTGTGCGTGTGTCTGTGTGTGCGCGTCTGTGTGTGTCTGTGTGTGTGTGTGTCTGCGTGTGTGTGTCTGTGTGTGTGTCTGTGTGTGTGTCTGTGTGCGTGTGTGTCTGTGTGTCTGTGTGTGTGTGTCTGTGTGTGTGTCTGTGTGTCTGTGCGTGTGTGTCTGTGTGTCTGTCTGTGTGTGTGTCTGTGTGTGTGTCTGTGTGTGTGTCTGTGTGTTTGTGTGTGTGTGTCTGTATGTGTGTGTGTCTGTGTGTCTTTGTGTGTGTCTGTGTGTGTGTGTCTGTGTGTGTGTCTGTGTGTGGGAGCGATAGTGTAGCGGTTAGCGCGCTGCGCTATGAACCTGGCGACCCGGGTTCGATTCCCGCTCACGGCCAACACCAGTGACGATTATCTGAACCGGTCCCGGGCCTCCCCTAGGTCGACTCAGCCTCAAATGAGTACCTGGTACGGTGTGTAAACATCGCGACTGGGGAGACAAAGGCGGTCGGGCGTGGTGCTGGCCACCCACCCCCTCGTGTACCGTTCCGGCCTTCATAGGTGCTCGCTAACAGCACTTGCCCCTACAGTCTGTTAAGGCTATACGGGGGATCTTTGTTTTGTCTTTGTTGTGTCTGTGTGTGTGTCTGTGTGTCTGTGTGTGTCTGTGTGTGTGTGTCTGTGTGTGTGCGTGTGTGTCTATGTGTGTGTCTATGTGTGTGTGTGTCTGTTACCGTGGAGCTGATCTGCCCTCTGACCATCGACTAGTCATCTGTAAGATGCGCCTGTCATTCTCCGGTGGTGGGTGTACACCCAGGACCCCATTCCGACCTAAAGTGGCCTGGTCTCAGTTATCTGATGAAAGTTGCAAGCGAGAATTTTATCATCGCTTGCGGCTGGGATTGGCATCGTCCCCGACTCCTCCTGATGTCGAGGGTAAATGGGCGAGGTTTAGGACTGTGACTCATGCAGCTGCAATGGCTGCTTTAGGTACGCGGTCCAGACCTCCCCAGAGACCCTGGCTGACAGAGGAGGTGTTCAGGATGGTTGAGAAAAAGCGACAGGCCCACTGTCATCGGCTACAGAATCCCACGTCAGAGAATGAGGAGGCTTACCGCAGCCTTCGCTCGGAGGTTCGGAGAGCCGTGAGGCGCTGCAAGGATAGGTGGTGGTCGCGGGTTGCTGAGGAGATGGAGTCTGCCTCAGTGGCCCATAATCACACATCTCTATTTAACTCCATCAAAAAAGTAACCTGCAGCGCCACACCTATTACCATCATTAGGGGGAAAAACGGTGATCCAATCTCCGTCCCCCAGGAACAGGTTTGCAGATTTGCTGAGCATTTCTGTGAGGTCCTGGGGGAGGGAAAATCCCTCAGCCAGGAAAACATCGTGGCACAAAGTGAGGATGACCCTGCTGAGGCTGCGGTGCCTCAAATATTGGAAGAAGTCACCCCCTGTGAGTGGCTGGCTGAGGTGCCATCTGTTGAGGAAGTACTGAAGGCGATCCGGAGTCTGAGACCAGGAAAGGCAGCGGGCAGAGATGATCTCCCAAGCGAAATGCTGAGGGAGGGTGGCGTTTGTGCACAGACTGCCCTATATGACATCATAACAACAGTCTGGACCACTGGACGGGTTCCGCAGGATTGGAAGGATGCCCTGGTGGTCCCCCTTTTTAAGAAGGGGGACCGCACAGACTGTAACAACTACAGGGGCATTTCACTCAGTGTGCCGGGAAAGGTCCTGGCAAGGATTATTCAGCATTGCCTTGCCAGGCACGCTGAGGAGAGGCTTGCGGAGCCCCAATGCGGTTTCAGGAAAGGGCGGTCCTGCACAGATGCCATATTTTCTGTCCGTCTGCTACAGCAGAGGTGTAGGGAATTCCAACAAGACCTACATCTCTGCTTTATTGACCTGGTCAAGGCCTATGATACCATCAGTAGGCCTGGGCTCTGGGTCGTTCTTCGTGCTTTTGGAGTACCTGACCCTCTGCTCACGATCATTAAGGACCTTCATGATGGTGAGCGGGCCCAGGTAAAACTACGTGGCCGGGAGTCAGAGCCATTCCCTGTACACCTTGGGGTGCGACAGGGATGTCCTCTGGCTCCCACATTATTTAACATCTATTTTGACCACGTAGTTCGTGAAGCCTTCAATAGCTGTACCGGGGGAATCTCCATATGGTACAGATATAATGGGAGGCTGATCGATGCCCGGGTGCGGTCAAGGGATGGCTCCCTATTGCTCAACCACGTTATGTATGCTGATGATTTGGTAATAGCTGCTCAGTCAGAGGAGGAGTTGGAGACGCTGCTGCTGAGACTGGAGCGTGCCACTAAGAGGTGGGGCCTTACCATCAGCCCCACCAAAACTAAGCACCTGCCTGGGTATTTTGTACCATCGGACACTCCACCCCCACAACTGCCAATCGGTGATGGGGCAGTTGTGGAGAGAGTGGAGAGTTTCCCATACCTGGGCAGTGTGCTTATGAGCGGCTCCAGTTTAACAGCAGAGGTCTCACTCCGAATCAGTCGAGCGGCAATATCTTTTCATCGGTTGCGTAACGCTGTGTGGAAGCTACCTGGTCTGTCGCTCCGCACTAAGCTTCGGGTCTTCTCGGCCACGGTCATTCCCTCCCTTCTCTACGCTTACGAAACGTGGACCCCCCTAATGGAACATCTTCGCCGGTTAGAAACATTTAGGCTGGCCTGGCTACGATCCATCCTGGGTTTAACCAGACTGGATTGTGTGAGGAGTTCACAAATCCTTGAAAGATCTGGGCAAGGTCCCATCGGTGAGCTCCTCCGGCGGGCAAGGCTGCGATGGCTGGGTCATGTAGCCCGCATGCCCAGCCACCGCATGCCGAAACAGCTTTTGTTCGGCCGGATTGAGGGGGCTAAGCGGGCGCGGCAGGGGCTAGAGAAGAGATGGAGTGATGTGGTACAGGAGGACGTGGAGCAGAGTGGACTTGCCGATGACTGGTACCAGCGGTGTCAAGATCGGCCTCTGTGGAGGAGGCTCGTGAAGGATGCTACTGGGCAGTTGGAGGTAGTCGCCCTCCAACAACAACAGAGGGCGGAGGAGCGACGCTCAGAACAACGAGCGGAGCGCCGGGTGGCTAAAGCACAGCAGGTTGGCACAGTAGGGGGCACAGGTGGTGCATCAGCCAGTCAGTCGACCCGTGGCACCTGGGTCTGCCCTGTGACCTTCTGCCAGCGGGCGTTCGACACTTCACGTGGCCTCAGGGTGCACATAGCCTGGCACAAGTGTGGTGACGTCACCGCCACTTAGTGGTGAATGGCGGTTGTTGTGTGTGTCTGTGTGTGTGTGTCTGTGTGCGTGTCTGTCTGTGTGCATGTCTGTGTGTGTCTGTGTCCGTGTGTGTCTGTGTGTGTGTGTCTGTGTGTGTGTCCGTGTGTGTCCGTGTGTGTCTGTGTGTGTGTGTGTACTGTGTGTGCGTGTGTCTGTGTGTATCTGTGTGTGCGTGTGTCTGTGTGTGTGCCTGTGTGCGTGTGTGTGTGTCAGTGTGTGTCTGTCTGTGTGTGTATGTCTGTGGGGAGCGATAGTGTAGTGTTTAGCGCTACGCTGCGCTATGAACCCAGTGACCCGGGTTCGATTCCCGCTCACGGCCAACACCAGTTACGGATTATCTGAACCGGTCCTGGGCTTCTCCTGGGTCGACTCAGCCTCAAATGAGTACCTAGGCGCATTGTGTAAACATCGCCACTCGGGAAACAAAGGCGGTCGGGCGTGGTGCTGGCCACCCACCCCCTCGTGTGCCGTGCCGGCCTTCACAGGGGCCTTGCTAACAGCACTTGCCCCCAACAATCTGTTACAGGCTACACGGGTGGATCTTTGCCATTCACATTAGAAGCGTTTACTTAAATAAAGGAGGGCTTTTACACGCCACGCATCTATTATTATTTGCCCCCGTTGTGAGGCGGTTGCCATCGACTGGGCTGGGTTATTTAAACTCCGTCTTGAGACTGGGCGAGAAGGCCTTTTGGTAGTGTGAGGGTGATGGTTTGGTGGTGGTGGTGGTGATGATATGAATACTCTTTGATTATTTCGGTAAAGTCACGTAGAAGAAAAATAATAATAATAATAGATCACGACGTTTCGATCGCCACACAAGCGGTCGTCCTCAGGTGGGAAAGAGAAACAGGGGGGTAAGCCGTATGGGCTGCTTTATCCCGTTTAAATCACTGGATCAGCGTTGGCGTTTCTGTTGCTCCATATGTATCGAGTTACAGCAGTTTAATAAGACTTATAGATCTGGATTTGCATGCGGTAGAGCAGTGTCTAAATGCGACCAATATCTCGAGACGCAGTACAGAAATTGTGCAAAAATGTGCTTCCACCGGTTTGTGAATTCCATACGTGGTAAGAGCCGGTCATGATCCTGGACTCGGAAGAGGGGGAAAGGAGTCTACAGGATGCTGAAAGGAGTTCCATACTTGAGGGGCAGCAGAGGAGAATGGGTGACCTCCGTCGTGAATGTTGACTGGGACTCTGATCAAAAGCCTTGATTTCCGGAATAGAGAGTGTGGAGGGGAGTTGCGTGTGACGAGGAGTACGTGGAGGGGAGTAGTGAGGCGAGATCGTAGAGGTAGGCAGTTGAGCACATGGAGGATTTGAAAGGGTATAAAAAATGTACCGTATCAGTTTTTCAAGCAATATTTACTCTGATTGCACTCGTTCCAACAACAAAGTGAACTGCATACCCAATACAACTCACGCAGTACTCATTGCCCCCAACCTCGTCGTTTAACGCCACAGGCCGTCTCCACCCGCGACCGCACCCTCACAGTGGGGGTGCCGGCGGTGGCACCAGCATGGCCTCTGTGGCCCAACGCAGACGCAGCAGCAGCAGCGTGGACCCGCATGGGGACTTCCCGGCGTGGCTCGCCTCCCGCGGCATGAAGCTCACGTTCGCCGAGGCCATGGAGCGCGAGCTGGGGATCAGCGACTACGGGGAGCTGCTGGCGTGCGCGCTGGCACCGCAGGTCCGCGTCGAGCTGTTCGCCGCCGCCAAAGAGCGCCTGCCCTTCGCCTTCTACGCCGTGCTGCGCCGCATCGCAGATTCGCTGGTCCACGAGGAGGGGGGCACCGGGGACGGTGGATCGGTGGCGCTGGGCGGGCTGGTGGAGACGATCGTGGCGATGCTGAGCGCGCTGAGCGACGCACTGCATCATGCCGCACAGAGGTTCATCTCGCTGGAGCCTGGGATGGCGGCTGGGGAGGAGCTGTCCCAATCCGGTGGGTGGTGGCGGGTGGGCAAATGGGTCAGCGAATCCAGAGCTAATACCTGGTAACTCGGTTGAATGGCTTTGGACCAGCGTTGGTTAGAGGAAGGTACAATCCAAAACATATGTACAGTCCTCATCTTGTTGTAGATATGTGCCGAAGTAAGCTATGTGCAGTAACATTATTACAGTAAAACCTTGGATTGCGAGCATAATTCGTTCCGGAAACGTGTTTGTAATCCAAAGCACTCGTATATCAGTTGTGATCACGTGACGCTCGGCAGACAAAGCGTATACATACTAGTCGTATTGCAAGACCCTCGGTCGTTTATCAAATTAATATTTACTTAAAATGTTTGCTCGTCTTGCAAAACGCCGCACACCAAGTTACTCGCAATCCAAGGTTTTACTGTAACAGACAAAAATCCTTCATAAAAATAAAATTTTGGTTCATCGGATTATGGGACTTGTGGACTAATGTTGGACTCTAGAAAACATTGATGCAGAAGTCCCATAAGCTTATAGCAAAACTTTCATTTTTGTATGGGTGGTCAAAAAAAACTACTTCTGCTTTTTACGATACAACGACAGTTTTGTTCCCCATCGGCATGTGGGCCTTCGGACTCTGTTTTCTTGCAGCATTCGTACATGCAAGCAAAATCTGAACAGTTTTATCTTTTTTAGAGTCTCACAAAGAGACCGAAACATTTTGGTTTGGTTAACGTACGATTTACATTCCTTTCAGGGCCCATAAAGGTTGTGTGTCCCTCGAGTGGATGAATATTTGAGAGGTCTGTTGAAGTAACTTTAGAAGAAATAGTTCTGTGATGGCATCTTCCAGGCTGTTCTATGGCACAGATTGATGCACTGCCGGCTGCAGAATTGCAAATGAAAATGGCATGACATTGGAAACACCAAGGCAAATCCTTCCAGTGCTGGTTTCATTGGACAACTCTATCTACAGAGTAAGTCTCTAATAGATACAGACAGAACTCGTGGACAGCAGCGTAGCAGAAGAAGAAAAAAATATAACAGCAAAAGGCAGTAGTTTTATAGCATTGGGTGTTCATTCATCATTGCTCCATGCGCACACCACGTGTTCAGAGAGTGTAAAGAGTGAGATCACGGTGGCGGCGGCGGCGGCAGCAACGGGGGAGTCCAGCAGTCCCCTACACCCGGGGGAGGATTGCGGGGTCCTCGAGGATTCTGTGTCGGAGCACCTCGGCTGCGCCCCACGGAACAGCGCACATTGGGGTACGGCAACAGCTCCAGCCACCGGGTAACCTGTGGTGTCTTTTGGAGCCCGGTTCCAATCGTGTCACGTGGCCAGTTTCACTTAATTGCCACTGTCACATTGACCCGTATGTAAAGCGGGGTGTTTACACAAGAGACCCCCCCCCCCCCCCCAGTCTTTCTCCCTCTTTGGCACTACTCACTCCTGGGTACTTATTACCTCGATTAGCGTCTTTGCTATAACATCAGAGTTAAATTTACAATACAGATAGTCCCCGACTTACGATGGAGATGCGTTACGATGACCCCATCGTAAGTCGAAAATATCGTAAGTCAAAGATGGCCTAGACTACCCAGGAGTATTAAAGAATGGTGATAATTTAGCAAAACAGAGCAATTTACAGTACCGTACTGTATCAACTATATACTGTATGTATTTATTAATTACAATACTGTATTTGCACAGTAAAATTTAAAGTAAAAAACAAGGTAAATTCTTAGCCTACCTATATGAACTGCAATTTCATAGAAAGTTTTTTTCAGGAAACAATCCTCCTATCTGCTATAAAAAAAAACCTTTAACATGGATTGAATGTATGTATCGTATCGTGGTAACCCTAAAATGAAATCGCTAAAGCTATGTATCATACATGCATTGAACGTATCGTAACTATCGTATTCTACTGTACTCACCAAGATTCTGTCCGTCGTCTGCATACTTGAACGATCTTAGGTTGTTGATGGCTACATTAACTTAGTTGTCGGAAGAGGAGGATGGCGATGATAACGTTTCAGTATCATACCTCGTACGCTGCTGCGTTTGCCTGCCGCGCGAAATTAAAAAAATATTTTACAACTTTGTCATATCGCTATCGTAAGATCGAAATATCGTAAGTCGGGGACCATCGTAAGTCGGGGACCATCGTAAGTCGGGGACTGCCTGTACTGTCAAACTTTGTCAGTCTGCCTTTATTACCATGTCAACAGTTTCTCCCCGTGGTCGCGTGGATTTTTCTCCGGGTCCTCTGTTTTTCCCTACACATTTAGAATGAACATCACGCGTTTTGAGTATTCGGCTGCCATACATTTCCACGTGATAAGCCACTTTGTTGAGCTATCATTTGTGATAGCCAGGTCGCTCCTTAAATAGAGCCACGTAACTCAGTGGGCCTTACCCGGTAAAATAAAAGAGATTAACTTTTTTTGTTAGTTTCACCAGATTTGCCGTTCATGATTGTGTGGTTGACAAACTTATTTATTTACCCTCCCCATACAACTCGATGAATTGTCAACAGTTTAGGGTCAGGATTCGAGTACGTATATTTTTTTGCTCAGTCTGTTACGTTCCTATTCACACCATTAGCACGTACTTTGCTGAGTAAGTCGATGCTTGTATTCATGAGTGGAGGAGTCAATTTAAACGAATGAATTTGTTAGTTAGCAAGCGCAAATCGCCTCCCCTCTCACCCTCCGAGCAGACGTAGTGAAGAGCGAAACCGATGGCCAGCAGCAGCAGGAGGACATCTCCGCCATGGAAGACCAGGAGCCGCCGAGTGAAAATGAGCCATGGAGCAGGCTCAGCGAGGGGGGCTTCTCTCCCCGTACTGCTGTGGCCGGCGCCTGGAGGCCACAACCGGACGCCGGCCCCTGCGTCGAAGACGGCTTCCCGCTGGCGCCCAGGCCTGACGGGGCCCTGCTGGGGCCGCCGCTCGCCTACGACGGCGCCAACTGGCGTGACGACAGCCGGTGGCCATACACGGACTCTTCTGCCGACCGCACATTCCTCTACGACGGCGGCGGCGGCGGCGGCGGCCTCAACCCGCCCTCCATGGTCTTCCGCTACCGCTTCCTGTGGCGGCAGCAGCAGCAGCAGCGGCGGCGGCAGCAGCAGCAGCTGCAGCAGCAGCTGCAGCAGGCGCAGCAGGCGGGGGTGGATGGCGCGGAGAGGCCGTACGTGTGCGAGGACTGCGGCAAGGGCTTCGGTTCGCCGGCTCACCTGCGCCAGCACCGCGGCACGCACACCGGAGAGAAGCGCTACGCCTGCGCCGAGTGCGGCAAGGCTTTCGTGCACCACGCCAGCCTGTACCGGCACCGGCGTGGGCACGCCGGCGCAAAGCGCTACCGCTGCGGCCGCTGCGCCAAGGAGTTCCGCTGCGAGGAGAGCCTGCAGCAGCACCTGTTGCTACACACGTAGCTATGTGCGAGACTTCAGGGCGTCAGCCAACAGACGGTGCCTGTGGGGGAACACAGAGCCTCGAGCACTGAGAAACAGTCGGGAGAGGAATCGGGAGGCATCCGAGATTTAACTTATTATCTGTGGTCAGATTCACGAGCAACAAGTCTTGTTGAGCTTCTTGAGCGAGTTTAGTTATTTTAAAGATTCACTTTTGGTTGCTCAATTTTAGTTTTTTTTTGCTTGCGATGCAGTAGACATATGATTCGTAGATCCAAATTGGTTCGATGGAATAGTGCACAGTTGTACGGTTCCACGTATCAAAAATAAGTTTCCGCTGACAATAAGGGAAAAAAGGTCATTATTTCTGATCACGTTCACGTTTTTCCACAATATCAGTGGAAAGGTGCACAACTGGTATGAAATTTCACCCAACTGATACTGCTTAACCGGGTTGATGCCATGCGTTCGTACAGGAGCAAAGAAGCTTGCTTCAATGCACTCGGTGAGAATACTCGAGTCCTCAACCATATTGCCAGACCGACCGGTGGCTCGTAATATTTGGACCTCAGTCCACGTTTCTGTGTTGACCATGCACGTGGAGGCGCACACCTCTCGGAAAAGGGTTGGTGGATCAAGACAGATTTGTAAAACTCTCCACAACCACGGGGTTGTGAGGTGACCAGGAGATGGTAGTACAGCAAGTTCGGTTCGTCGATCTCGTGGACTTTTCCGTGATACCCTTTACGAGTGAAGTGGGTTTTCTCCGGGTGCGCCAGTTCCTCCCACACTCAAAAACACTCCGTTGAAATGGATGGCTCAGAGGTCAGAGCACTGAGCTGGCACTGCTGATTTCCTGGTTTAGTAAGATAATGGTCTAAACTTGGTCACCGAGTTTGTTGTCCTACCCCGCACCTCCGATTAGCACGGTTGGCTACGTACGGTGCGAAAGAAGTTCAAAATACATGAATTTCACGGGGAAAAAAAAACGATCACATTAATTTGGTTCTGCACTTAATTTGGCAAAATTCCATATTGCTTTGACGGTCATGCAACGAAATTTACACCAAGTGGCAGGGGTGGGTGGCAAAGTGCTGCCCGCTAACGTGCGCATCAGATGCAGCTCTGCGAAATCCGCATCCATGGGCCATTCTTGAACATGAAGGGTAGCACTACTGCGGGCGATCCTAATGGATACTTTGTATTATTCTGTGGCGCGCCGATAGCACAATCGCGATTAACCTGAGAGGGGGGGGGGGATAACAATATTAAAAGGAAAGTGCCACGGAGCCCTTGAGAACGCGCGTTCATAGTAACGTTTATTTTAGAGGTTGCCCGAGATTGCCAGCGACTGCCGAAATCACAAACCCCAGTGGCAGATTGTCGATCACAGTTAAACTGACCCCCCCCCCACTGGTTTATCGCTTAATCATTGTGCTGCTTACAATGTCTATAAATATGGCGATCATGATCACTGCTGGGCGAGTCCGGGGAAAAAATAAGGGTGGAACCCGATGATGGGTTTACGTATGCCTAACGAGTCTAATCATGGGTGCACAGCGCTATCCACACTTTGCACACATCCAGTCTCTCTGTGCATTTTTTCTCAACTCACCTGTTTTTTTTCTACATTTTTTCTACATGAAGCGCTTGACAAATTAATCATTTGGCGGGAGCCCGGGGTCCCGCAAAAATCAGGTCAATAATAATTATTTTTCTTCAGTCCGCCCCACTACGTGATCCCGACAGCAACGCGCCGCCCGCCCAGACTCGCACCAACAAGCGCCAGCAGCAGCAGCAGCAGGCGGCGATCGACACGATGGGCGCCACCCCACCGGCCAAACGCGAGCCCCGGGGGGCGTCCGCCGCACGACGTCCGCCGCACGACGCCCTCCGGTCAGCCGTCAATCCTCAGCTTCTTTGCCAAGGCGAGCCCCGCCTGCCCCCCGCAGGCAGTGAATCTAACGTGTTTGTCATTTTCAACTTTTTAAGAAACTTAGTGCCCCGAGTAGCTCTCGACGAGGCCAATCGATTGACCACTAGTTTTGTTGTCGGTAAGGCAGCAAGACTCGTGTCGCTCCGCGGTTTTTCCCACCCCGGGGCAGTGATGGGACCCCGGGGTCCCGCCAATTGCTTCAAATGCTAATGTCTTAAATGAGTACAAAGAAAATCCAAGATTGGTCAAATTATTTATTTTGTTTAATAAACATACTAAAACTATTTTGAAGTTGTGTTTGTCGCAGGTATAATACAGACATCTATTGCCTGCACAGTGTACAATGTTAATATTTATAATTTTCATAATCACATGGTAACTTGACAGTACATCGATATGTGACAGAAGCTTGCAGCTTCGAGGTAATCCCCAATGCCGATTTAAACAGCATATTGCTATAGAGTGCAGCATTTTCAGCTATTCATAGTGTAAACTTATCGGTTTTTGATGGACATTAATTTTCGAATGCGAAACTTGACAATGGGACATTCAATGACACTGTCAATACATTCATATTCATTCTCTTTTCACAATTGTTAAATCAATGGTTATGCATTTAAAAAAGAAACCCTGACCACCTTTATCATGAACGCTGCCTCGTGTCGAAATGTACTGTCGTCGGCAAAAACGTTTCCGTCAATGGCCCTTCGCCTAGGGAAAAACGACGTTACAATGCACAGGCTCCTGTTAACTAACTGCTGGATGAAGACCTATCCATGCTCCCCTGCCAGCTGTGGGGTTGACCATAGTTCACATTGGGCCAGTCAGCGAAGAACAAGGGGTCCGAGGCCGGTCATATGTAAATCGTCACCGATGTTAATCTGTGGGCGAGAACCAAAACTCCATTCACCGGGTTCTTGCGCCAAACCGCTGCAACACCACTTCTGAAAGTGGCGAGCGCTCCGCTGGGGGTACAACGGAGATGTCGCAAGGTCGCGTCGAAAGCAGCAGCTGGCCGCGTGCAACATCGACAGCGCGGAAACTGGGGAACGACAGCGCAAGACAGGTCCCCGTGGCGTTCCTCCGTGCTCCATGATAGTGGCAGTCTTTGTGTTGTTTGCCTTTTGGCGTCCTCTGGTCTAACACCGTTTAATACTTGGCTCCAAAGAAAGCTGTCTCTGGTGTGGACCAATCGGTTTCAAAGACGATGCAACGTATACTACCAGAGAGCATGTTTTTGTGTTTGAATGTTCACCACAAGTACGTGTGGTTAATACAGACAGGATTCCTTGCAAAAGCTTTCAGTTTGGTGTTTTAACATCTTAACACAAACTGCTTTTATTGCCAGAAAGGGTAAAAACCTATTTTATTCATGGTGGCGTTGGAACTATTTGAAAGCTGCTGCGAAGTGCATAGCGCCATGGAAGGCGCCCTTCAAGCGGCAATCGGGGTTAGCTTCTTCAAGTGTTCATGTGGGAGCTCAGCGGTCGCTGCTCCTATAAGTCTACAGAGACAATCAGGGTTAGCTTTTTCAAGTGTTCATGCGGGAGCTCAGCGGTCACTGCTCCTATCAGTCTACCGAGCCATATGAAGACACACAGAGGTGAGAACTAACCTCTCGGGCAGTCATCGCCAATCCGAGGTGACAGCCAATAAAGTGTTTTATTAGTAGGCAGAGTTACAATGGCAAAGGTGGTGAGATGTTTTCAGCTTTTCCTTGTACACCACTGCCAGTATATTCCATCACGCAGTATTCCATAAAACCGGCTTGTCTATAACACTACACGCAGCCTCTGGATGTCATCCGTTCCCACGCCGAGCCACTCACTGCGTCAAAAAACACTTGTATCGACTGCCAAAGTTCACAATGGTTGTAGAGAAAACCGCTTTTGAAGGATTAATAAAAAAAAAATTAAGTTCATCCTTCAGCATTTGTATTTCTGTGGCCTTCACAAACTGCTTCATCACCAGTGAAACCAGGGTTCTTTAATCATTGGAGGTTGGCAAGCCGAGACGTGAAGAGACAGGTGATTCGTGAGATCAAATAGATAAACAAGAGATACAGATGAGGGGAGCTGTAGAGAAATATATAGAGATGACAGTAAGATGCCAGAGAGATGTACAAGAGATAGAGATGAACACAAGATATCAAGATCAGTAGTCACATGTACGATGTCATCATGGCACCACGTGATGCCATGACAACTGTACATGCGATGCATGACATCACGTAGTTCACTAAGCACACAATTTATTGAGTCTCGCCAGATATGTTTTTTTTTAAACCTCGATTTGTAAAACCGTGTCTCACACTGAGCCAAGTCAAGCAATGAGAGCGGCGAGCCGCTGCACCGAGTGTGTGCATCTTCAGAACCCCGTGTTCAGATGCCGCTGCAGGTGGTGGTGCTGCCCACTCACCGCATGCGTTTGCTGACCTCCAAGAGGCCTGCGTTGCCAGGTGCCCCTGGGGGTGGTGGTGGTGGTGGTGGACCAAAACACGAGTGTGCTTCAAAAGGCTGTGTTTTCAAATGCCCCTGCAGAGCATGACGCTGGCCCGCCACCGCCTGAAAGAGCAGCCTCGGAAGCTTGTGTTTTCAGTTGCACCTGAACGAGGTGGTGCTGGGCCACAGCCTGAGGTCGTTGACCTGCAGAAGCTTGAGTCTTTAAATACCCTTGCGGGTGTGGCTGTTGGCGTAACACAGCTCGAGCCTGCTGATTCGCAGAAGCTTGCGTTTTCAAATGTCCCTGAACGTGGTACTGTGCCACAACTTGAGTTCGCTGACCCATGGCCGGGTGCGTCTTCAAATGCCCCTGCGGACGGTGGTGGTGGACCCCCGCCCGTTGCGCGTGGTGAGCGGCCCCCTCGGACGCGTGGGTCTTCTGGTGCGCCTGCAGGTGGTGCTTGAGACGGAAGGTGGCGTTGCATTGGCCGCACAGGAAGGGCTTCTCGCCCGTGTGCGTGCGCATGTGCACCGTCAGGTTGTAGGCCTTCGTGAAGCCCTTGCCGCACAGCCGGCAGCAGTATGGCCGGCTCGTGGTGTGCGTGATGCGGTGCGCGCGCAGCTGCTGGCGCTGGGCGAACATCGCCCCGCAGTCGCGGCACTGGAACGAGCAGGGAGCCGCGCCGTGCCGGATGCCGGCGATGTCGGTATTGTCGCCCGAAGCGGCTGCTGGCGCATCGAGCGAAGCCGTGTCGGGGCCCGGCCAGCCGTCCGTGACCTCGTCATCGGGGATGCGACTCCGGATGCTCTGGTCGCCATGCGGCGCGTGCTGCGGGACGACGTCGGCCGGTTCTGCGGTGGTAGCGGCGGGCGGAGACACGAGAGAGCTGAACAGGGCAAGACGTGCGGCGGACGAGCCGGTCGCCATTTCCCGTCAACGCCTGCGCGCGCGACGCGCGCATCAGATGGTGCGTGCAGGAATCCATTATTTGCGTGCGTATGCATTCACACTGCCACCATCGGCAACACCAACTGCTCCAACAGCAACTTTCGCACTTACGTAATATAGGGTTTTTTGGGTTAGATCGCATATTAATGTTGTTAAACCCGCCACCACCCGACACAGCCATTTCGTTACTAGTACAGCATACCGGTGTGTTGGAGAGCAAATCCACAACATTTACAATCAACATTTACGATTGCAAATGTTGTAGATTTGCTCTCCAACACACCGGTGTGCTGTACTAGTAACGAATTGGCATGTTCTCTTTACGTGACAAACCTTACTAATTGGCTGTGTAGGGTGGTGGCGGGTTTAACGGCAGATTTATATTCACGCGATCTAACCCAAAAAACCTGTATTATGGATATTTGTCGCAAAAGCCTATGCGTTAAACTTGGCACTTCCAATTAGCACGGTTGGTTGTGTATGGTGCAAAAGAAGTTTAACATACAACTGCCACCACCATCACCGCTACTACCAACAGCAACACCACCATCACGGCCATAAACGCTACCATCAACATCACCATCACCACCATGAGACAAAGATATCCTTTAACACACTGTTGGGGCAAGGGCTGTTAGTGAACACCTATTAAAGGCTGGCATGGAAAACTCCCATCATCTGGGATCCCTCGAGGTCGAGTATGATGAGGGGTGGGTGGCCAACACCACGCCAAGCTGCTTCGTCTCCCCAGTGCTGATGTTTAAGGTTGGGTTGACCTAGGAGAGGCAAGGAACCGGCTCAGATATTCGTAACCGATGTGAGCTTTGAGCAGGAATTTGAACTCGGGTATGCCGGGTTCGTAGTGCAGCGCGATAACCACTACACCACCGTTCCCTACAACCAGCACCACCATTCCCTACAACCAGCACCACCATTCCCTACAACCAGCACCACCATTCCCTACAACCAGCACCACCACGACAGACCTTCGTAGTTGGTGCCGTGCGAGTGCAGCGCCGCCTGCCAGTGCGCCATCACGTCCTCCTCGTGCTCGGTCTTGCCGAGCCAGGCCCCGCTCACCGCGCGCTCCGCCACCATCGCCACCTCGGCCTCGCCGTCGGAGCGAGGCGAGAACCCTACATGCCCACGTCGGGAGATCAAATCTGGGATTACAACTCCGCCGTGTTCGCCATTACACCGCGGCACAATCATCCCTTAGCACCACGGTGGCAAGATGTTAATCTTCTCGCCTGGTATGCAAGTCGTGGCTTAAATCTCAACCCTGACGGTTGTATATTTGGAGTCTGCACGCTCTCCCTGTGATCGCGTGGACTTTTCTCCGGGTCCTCCAGTTTTTCCCTCCACATTTAGAATCAACGTGCGTTTATAGGGTATTTGGCTGCTATAAATTTCCACGTGATAAGCCACTTTGTTGAGCTATCATTTGTGGCCAGGTCACTTCTGAAAAGAGCCACACGGCACATGTATAAAAAAAATGCTAAATGTAAACATACCACTGAAACTACAAAACTAAAGATTATTCCTGGGCACACAATCCAATACTAGATTAATTGATTTTCGATTTAAAGCTTCCGTGACTGCAGGTATTCATATTCTTGGTTCTTTCAGTAAATTAACGTAGAAGGGAAATAATAAAATAATAAAGATAAAACTATAACATTCTCACGACGTTTCAATTGCAACACAAGCAGTCATCATCAGGTGTCAAAACCACAGCAATAAAATTTTGATGACGATTGCTTGTGTTGCAATCGAAACGTCGTGAGAATTGTATTGTTCGATTTTGTTATTTTATTATTTTATTATTTCCCTTCTACGTGACTTTACCGAAAGAACCCAGAATGTAGATTAATTGACGTGCAGTACAACACCAGTACTGCCTGCAGCGTGATATTTGTGCAGTATCGAGATGCTTTTGAACGCCATTCAGTTTTTGAGCTTTGCGAGTCCAAATTGTCAAATTATTTAACACCCCGTTTCACGTGGGATGCGGTATATCCGACCCAGGTTATTTCGAGCACACGTGGGATATTAAGTCCCCTAGCCACACGGAACACCTGTACACCGATCGTCATTCCTCACCGTCACCGCCATTGCCACCGCCGCGGCCATCGTCGTCCCGTTCCAGCTTGATCTCGCGCCACGCGACGCACGGTTCCGCCTGCCCGAAGCAGTTGTGGGAGTCGAACTGTCGCCCCGCGTACTCGACACCCGCTGGAGGAGATGAGGTGCGAGGAGGAGGTGGTGGTGGTGGTGGTGGGGACAGCTCCGGCGCTGGGACAGCCGGGGTAAAAGGTGCGAAACGTTAGAACGACGCGGCCACTGAAGCTTCCGTGGGCTTCAGCATGTGCCTTGCTGACGGTTTTTCTGTAAAAAGGTGTGTTGTAAAGAAATTAATGAACGAACACCAGGTGAAGGGATGTCTCGGGCACTGCCAATTTGTGGGCAATATCACCGACATTCAACAACCCTCCGCAGAGGCTGCCGAATGGCTTAACCACCTCGATAAACACAAGTTTCAAATTATGAAAGAAGTGGCATCATGCGTAGTTTCCTATAGCCTCACCTGTCAGGGACTCGTCAAGCTCTATCCGCTGCGAGCACTGATCATGAGCGCCGTTCATCATGGTCGTAATGGAGTCGGATATTGGGAAAGCCTCCTCCTCCAAGTTCCGCACGTGGGCTTCGTAAGAGCCCAGTGCACCTATGGGGGCACGGTCACGCACAAACATTTCATTGTGTAAGGGGACCTGCTGTGGTTGGCAACAGGTGTCTATGTGTGTGTGTGTAGAGTACTGGTGAAGTGATTTGCACGATGCGCTAATGTATGTACGTATGTTGAACTTCGTTTTCACCGTACGTAGCCAACCGTGCTTACCGTATGTAGCCAACCGTGCTTATCGGAGGTTGCGGCGGCGCTAAGTCACCGGCCATGGCTAACAGTGGCCAAGAGTGATATCTGAAATGTTCACAAGCCTGCCATACAAATGTGGAAATTCCCACTTATTTCTCAGATATTTTCTCAGATGAACAATATATTGTTGTCCTCTCATTCATTGTCTACTTAAATTATTCAGCCACGACACACATTATCTTTTGTAATAGCTGCACGCCGAGGGTGTATTTTTCAGGCTCTCTGACATGAGATTGAAGCTTCGTTAAATGTCACCGTTTAAGCCACTTCCGTGTTTTAAAAACCCAAAGCAATAACATCACTAAAGTATCGGTTGATGATTTTCAAGTCTCTGTGCAAATAACTGAAGCTTCAAACTTGTGCAGGGACCGACCGTGACACACCCGAAGCGTGTAGCGACAAGAGCTCTCTATCTTTTGTGTGTTGCGTCTTGCCTGTGTCAAGTTCACCAATTGTCTGATTCAACCGAGGATTTGGCGTCACAATTCAGGTAAGGAATCGATTCCCTTCACCACAGCCCCCCTGTTGATTGCTGCTACCAGTGCAGCCGTAAACACGAGCCGAGGCCCCCGTCTCTCCCACATACCCGAGGGCGCCTCCGAGAATCCCGGGCTGCGTGGGCTCCTCCTGCCGCCGCACGGCGATGCCGGCAGCGCCGGCTCCAGGCAGCGGAATCTCTGCGCCGACTGCAGCAGCTCACGGCTCAGGGAGCTCAGCGTGGCCACGATGGCGTCGAGGACGGCGCGACTCGCCAGGACTCCCTCGCAGTCGGGGGCGCACCCTCCCGGCCCCTCATCATCCTCCTCCTCCTCATCGCCACCACCGTCATCGTCCCTCGCTCGCTCCTCCTCCTTCCCGTTGCCGGAGAGCGGCTCCCGGCTGCGGCTTCGTCGGCGCCGGCGCCGACGCTGCCGCGGCGCCAGCGCGCGCACGAGCCGGCGCAGCACGGCGTAGAAGGCGAAGGGCAGGCGGTCGCGGGCGGCGCCCAGCAGCTCGGCCGTCACCTGCACGTCCTCGGCGCACGCCAGCAGCTCCTCGTAGTCGCTGATCCCCAGCTCGCGCTCCATGGCATCGGCGAACGTGGGCTTCATGCCGCGCGTCGCCAGCCACGCCGGGAAGTCCCCGCGCGGGTCCGGATCCACGGCCAGCACCGCCGCGCACGCCATCGCCACGCGCTGGCACACGGGCTCCTGGGGAGGCGTGTGGAGAGAGGGAGGGGGGGGTGAGGGTTGGCGGTGCCTGGCACACATTATGCTTTCAAGTTTTACATGTACGGGAGACCCTTGAATACCGCGGGTTTAGAGTTTGCGGTTTCGACCTATCGCGGGCAAGCACTTTGTATACCAATTTAACTATGGGGCCGTCCATAAATGACGTCACGCACCTAGGGGGGGTCAGACATTTGTGACGATGTGTGACGAAGGGGGGGGGGGGCGGTTTGAGAAATGTGACGTCACATCAAAATGCGCAACTTTAAATATAGACAACACGTTCTACTTAAATAGACTTTTTAATGTTTTCTAATACATCAGAGTGCAGCGCCACATGAAATACGCACTACAATGACAAGAGTTTCAAGCGATTTGAAGCATGTTTTATTTTTGGGGGGGGGGGGGGGCAGAGCTTTGTGACGTCATATTTGAGGGGGGGGCTCTGACTTTTTGTGACGTCGTGTGACGAGGAGGGGGGGGGGTCAAAAATCGTCAAAAATCGCGTGACGTCATTTTTGGACGGCCCCCTTATCGTGGGGGTTAGTTTTTGCTTTTCGCGGGTATAGTGTGCACGGATGTTACTCCTCCTCCTCCTCCCCCCCTGCTCCACTGGCCGACAAATTACTGTGACGGCCAAACAAACCCCGCAACCGACACAATGGGCAGGGGCCTTCGCCCGGACGATGCCTTCACCAAGTGCTGAGAACCACTCCGCAATTATTTACCTTCAACACCCCCCGGGGGTATACGGAGGGGACCGCCAGAGCTTGGACGAACTGTTGACACGCGACCCAACCCACGTGGCCGTCTCTATCTCTCTCTCTCGCGCGCACTAAACAATATTTATTTTAAAAAATCGGAAGCGACCGGTGGGCGCTGCGGGGATAATCCTCCTCTGGCAAGTCGACACACCCGCCCGTCGTTATCGTTACGACGGCATCGACAAGCGACCACCATCACCATGACCACCCTCTCGGACTTGGCGAGATCACGACATCGGCTTGCCGTGATGAAACAATGGGGGCCGAGCCGAGGACCCTCACTCCACCACCACCACAACAACCACCACCCTCACCTTGCTCTCAGTCTCTTTCAGCGCCGATTCAGCCGCCGCCGCCGCACGAACACCAGCAACCAACCCCCACCTTTTTAATTGTTTCTCGGTTGTTGTTATTGTTGTTGTTGTTTTCTAATTGATCGATGTCCAGTGGCGACAGGGCCGCGAATCGACTCGGGGTCGAAGGCGCCGAGCCACAGCCTCGAGCCTGACCTTTGACCCCGCCCGCCACAAGGAGCCTCTTGATTGGTCGGCGACTCCCCCGCCCCTCTTACTCCCCCCCGCCCCTGCTACTCCCTCCCCCCCCTTCTACACCCCCCCCCCGCACCTCCCCCCCCTGCGTACGCCAAGGAAGCTCTTCGCTCATTGGTCGCCCCCCCCCCCCACGTGTGTGAGTGGGCGGTGTGCTCATGACCGGCTCTGGTTTAACAGCAGAGGTCTCCTCGGTTCTTTCGGTAAAGTCACGTAGAAGGGAAACAATAAAATAATAATACAAATATAAAACAATAAAATTCTCGCTTTTATTGTTTTATATTTTTTATTATTTTATTAAATAACAATAAAAATATAAAACAATAAAATTATCGGTTTTATTGTTTTATATTTTTATTATTTTATTGTTTCCCTTCTACGTGACTTTACCGAAAGAACCAAGAATATAGCAGAGGTCTCACTCCGAATCAGTCGAGCGGCAATATCTTTTCATCGGTTGCGTAACGCTGTGTGGAAGCTACCTGGTCTGTCGCTCCGCACTAAGCTTCAGGTCTTCTCGGCCACGGTCATTCCCTCCCTTCTCTACGCTTGAGAAACGTGGACCCCCCTAATGGAACATCTACGCCGGTTAGAAACTTTTAGGCTGGCCTGCCTACGATCCATCCTGGGTTTAACCAGACTGGATTGTGTGAGGAGCTCACAAATCCTTGAAAGATCTGGGCAAGGTCCCATCGGTGAGCTCCTCCGGCGGGCAAGGCTGCGTTGGCTGGGTCATGTAGCCCGCATGCCCAGCCACCGCATGCCGAAACAGCTTTTGTTCGGCCGGATTGAGGGGGCAAAGCGGGCGCGGCACGGGCTAGAGAAGAGATGGAGTGATGTGGTACAGGAGGACGTGGAGCTGAGTGGACTTGCCGATGACTGGTACCAGCGGTGTCAAGATCGGCCTCTGTGGAGGAGGCTCGTGAAGGATGCTACTGGGCAGTTGGAGGTAGTCGCCCTCCAACAACAACGGAGGGCGGAGGAGCGACGCTCACAACAACGAGCGGAGCGCAGGGTGCCTAAAGCACAGCAGGTTGGCACAGTAGTGGGCACAGGCGGTGCATTAGCCAGTCATCTCAGTCAGTCGACCCGTGGCACCTGGGTGTGCCCTGTGACCTCTTGCAAGCGGGCGTTCAACACTTCACGTGGCCTCAAGGTGCACATGGCCTGGCACAAGCGTCGTGGTGACGTCACCGCCACTTAGTGGCGAATGGCGGTTGTTGTTGCACGGGAGGACAACGTGGAGCTGACTGGCACCTGCCTACGACTGATAACACCAGTAGTGTCAACATCGGCCTCTGTGGAGGAGGAGGACGCTCCTGCTCCTGCTGCTGCTGGGCAGTTGGAGGCAGTCGCCCCTCCAGCAACAACAAACGGAGGGCAGAGGAGCGACGCTCACAACAACGAGCGGAGCGCTGGGCGGATAAAATGCAGCAAGTTGGCACAGTAGTGGGGGGTAAGAGCTGGTGCTGCATCTACCGGTCATCTCATTCGGCCAACCCATGGCACCTGCTGGGTCTGTCCCAAGATCTGCACCTAGCCTGGCACAGTAGGGATACAGCTGGTGGTGCATCTACCGGTCATCTCAGTCGGTCAACCCATGGCACCTGCAGGGTCTGTCCCGAGACCCCCTGTCAGCAGCGAGCCTTCGACACTTCACGTGGTAGCCTCAAGGTGCACCTAGCCTGGCACAGACACCGCGATAACGTCACCGTCACTTGGTGGCGAATGACGGCTGTATTGGAACGGGAGACAGGGATTTGGTGGTTGTGAACCCAAGGGATTTAAGATTTTATTGACATCGCATCGGGCAAACGCGGGGGGGGGGGGGGGGCATTGCAAACATTACCTTGTCTTCTTCCGTGTGGCTGATGTCGATGCAGAGCAACAACTAAAATTTGACATTCTATTCAAACCATAAACTCTTTTTTTTAATTTTTACCGGGTAAGGTGCACTGACCTATATACAGTAACTCTTTTTTCAGGAGCGATCTGGCCACAAGTGATCGTCCAACGAAAGTTGCTTATCGTCACGTGGAAACATAGCAATCAAGTACTTTAAACTCGTAGAGATGCATAGAGACCCATAGATTCAACTATTATATTCACCAGGTAAGGTTCACTGAGCTGTGTAGCTCATTGTCAGAAGCGACCTGGCCATCACAAATGATCAACGAAGTGGCGGATTAACGTCGTGTGGAAATTCATAGCAGCCAAATACTCGAAGGGGCCGTCCATAAATGACGTCACGCGATTTCGGAAGATTTTTGACCCCCCTCCCCCCCCCAGTCACACAGCGTCACAAAAAGTCAGACCCCCTCCTCAAATATGACGTCACAAAGCTGTGCCCCCCCCCCCCCCAAATAAAAAGTAAAACATGCTTCAAATCGCTTTAAGCTATTGTCGTTACTCTTTGGTTCTTTCGGTGAAGTAACGCAAGGTAGAAATAAAATAAAATAAATCACGACGTTTCGGGCGCAACACAAACGCCCGTCATAAGGTGGAACGACCACAGCAAGCAACGAGCAGGATCACGATCTGACACCCGAGCAGCGGTCGCGTCTCCATAAACTACTTTTGGAATTTCGGGATGTTTTCAGTTCGGGAAAATATATTGGTTGGACATCCCTGTTGGCATCACATCGACACGAGGGACGCGCCCCCAATTTGCCTAAATTTCCATCGAATGAGCCCACTGTGGATGAAATGCTGGAACAGGAGATCGTCTCTCCCTCCACCAGCCCATGGGGGGCTCCCATCGTGCTGGTTAAAAAAACGCGACGGCTCCCTGCGATTTTGCGTCGATTTTAGAAAACTTAATAAGATTTCGATTGCGGACACGTACCCGCTTCCACGCTGGACGCCCTGTCTGGTGCGAAATTTTTCTCGACCCTCGATCTCTTATCGGGCTTTTGGCAACTGCCCCTAGACGAGGAGTCCAAGCCGAAAACAGCCTTCCGAACACCGCAAGGGTTGTTCCATTTCAACGTGCTCCCGATGGGACTCCACTCCGCGCCGGCCACCTTCCAACGTCTAATGGGGCTCGTATTGCCCGGATTGCAGTCGGAATCGTGTTTGATATGTCTAGACGACGTCATTGTTTTCAGCAAAAACTTTGACGAGCATTTGCAGCGATTGCGTGCCATATTTGGACGAGTGCGGTTCGCCAAATGGAAATATAAGTGCCACTTGCTGAAAACATCTGTTAAATATTTGGGTCATGTTGTTAGCGCATCAGGAGTCGCCACCGATCCGGACAAAACGAGCTGTGTACGCACGTGACCAGTCCCGAAAACAGTGTCAGAGGTACGTAGCTTTGTGGGTTTTGCGCCATACTACCACCGACTTGTCAAAAATTTCGCAACAATCGCAAGGCCGCTGCATACCTTGACCACTAAGGGTCAGAAGTTCCTGTGGGGCAAAGAGGAACAGCGTTCGTTTGAGACGCTTCTGGGCGCATTGGCAGACGCACCGCCGCTCGGATACCCAGATTTTTCCAAGATGTTTACCCTCGACGCCAATGCCAGTGACACTGGCATTGGCGTATTCTTGTTGCAAACGGCCGACGGTGTTGAGAAGGTTGTAGCATTCGGCAGCGGCGTGTCGTCTCCTGCGGAACGATATTGCGTAACACACAGGGAGCTGCTGGCCATCGTGCACTTCATACAACTGTACCGGCCGTACTTGTATGGCAGGGATTTCTTGGTCCGCACTGACCACGTGGCACTGCAATACTCCTTGCGGGTTGACCAGACCTCAGGCCAAATGGCCCGTTGGCTCGAAATCCTGCAAGGATATTCTTTTAGGGTCCAACACAGGAAGGGGACGCGTCATGTCAATGCAGACGCATTGTCATGATTCCCGCAGCCATCAGGCTCCTGTAGGTGTGCAGAAGGCTCATTACGGTGCGGTCCACCGCTGCAGGCGGCTCCGGCGATGGCCGCCGCAGCTGATTCGGTCCCAGCTGATGGTTTGCTCGCGCAGGGGAACGGCATATTGGGCCTTGCGTTGGCCGATTGGAGGCGCCTGCAAGTGGAGGATTCCTCCTTGACCAGGATGAGGCTTCGGGCTTCACGCTCTAAAGGGTCGGTGGATCGCCCTTTCCTTCGGCTTGTCGACGGACTCCTCGTGCGATGGGACGTCGAACTTGCAAAAGTTCTGTATTGTCGTGCCCTTGTGTCTGCGGGGCAAGCTCATTCATGATACGCACGAAAAACGCATGCATTTGGGTGAAAAAAAGACCGCATTGACCTTGTGCAAAGATTTTGATTGGCCAGGCATGCAAAACGACGTGCATCAATTCATTAAATCTTGCCACGAATGTGCGCGGCGGAAGGGGCCTGCGCAGCCATACCAGGTGCCATTACAATCCATACAGGTCTCCCGTGTTAGCAAGATTGTTGCCCTGGATATTTTGGGTCCGTTTCCCATTACCCCGAGAGGCCTCAAATACTTGCTCGTAGGAGTCGAGTACCTCACCCGATGGCCTATGGCATGGCCATTGGTGGACCAATCTGTGGTTTCAATCACCGAGGCTTTCCTGCAGGGATATGTCCTTGATAAAGGCGCAGCGCAACAACTGCTCACCGACCAGGGCAAGAATTTTTCCTCCCGGTTGCTTAAGGAGGTGTGCGATTCGCTAGGGACGAAAAAGATTCGGACGTCCCCGTACCACCCGCAAACCAACGGGATGGTCGAACGCCTGCATAGGACACTGACATCTATGCTATGCCAACAGGTGAACGCAGCGCAGAACGATTGGGACCTGCACGTTCCGGGTGCCCTAGCCGCTTACAGATTGGCCCCACATGCCTCGACGGGGTATTCACCATTTTATTTAATGTACGGACGAGAGCCCGAGGCCCCTGCCTTGGTGAGGTTGGGCGTGCGTGTGCCGGGGAAGACGGCGGCCGTACCTGTCCCCATGCAGGTGACGTTAGACCGACTGAATGAGACAAGAGAGGCCTC